TTGATACATAAAATTTTACTATCATTCCTCATCCAACTACGTATGAGCATTGCAAAATGTGCTTCGTATGTTTAAACAAGCCCGTGAGTGATTAAAAATTATGAGGTAATCTATGTCATTTTTAAAAATTACAAAAGATATTTTTATTTTTAAAAATTTACTCTTTGTGTTTCTAAAATTGAAATATTAGTATTTCTTTTTACTAATATCCTTCAAATTTATGTATCACATATTTTTTGTGTTTCTATCTTCTCAACAAAGTATTAGTCAATCATAATGTGCGTGCTTCGGTATCTCTGTTCAGTGTCTCTTTCTTTGAACTGCTACTTAAGTGACAAGTGATGGGTATTTCACATATAATTACACTCTCTAAAACAGTGTTTAGTTGCGAGACAAAGACACAGAGATACGTGTATCATGTTTGACTAGTGTCTCGCTGGAGAGAGATACAAAAAACATGAAAAACACAATTTCAAAAAATACTAGTGTACTTCCTGAAAAAAGAGATACTAATATCTTAACATAGGATAAACTTATAAAAAAAAAAAAAAACTAGTATCTCTCTCCTTGTTATTTCAATATCTTTATCTCTAGTGTCAAAGGACGGTAACCAAAAGCTTCATGAGTTTCATACTATATCTGTACATATTAACACGGGAAAGGAAGAAAAGCGGAAGTTTTGGAAGTTTCGTTGTGCAGTGCCGCCAGTGCTTTTGGGATTTGGGTCGGGGCCACAAAGTCCAACTTCAATGGGCTTTTGCATCTCTTTAGGCCCACTTCAATGTGATATTAAAAACTTGTGCAAAAAATGAAAGATGAACAACGAGTTGACCGATGAACACAAAAGATGCACTTAGCAGCATACATCAACGAATTAATCCGATACACTTTGCTTGAAATTTCCTTATTTGGCGTGCTTTCTATTATTTATTTATTTTTGTTAATTTCATTAATAGAGAATGATGGGTTATTAAATGGAGATATATGAGATTTCACAAAATAATAAAAGCTACATTAAAAGGGAAAAAAAAAAGGTTGCTAGTAATTTCCACTTCTATAATAATATGAAACACACACTTAGTAGAGTGTGTATTGATAAGGCACTTTTTAAAATTTACTTGGTCAGCTAAAAAGCTTGTTTAATAAAAATAAAATTATTTATTAAAATAGATAAAATGGATATTTATTACTTTTTTTAATGCTACTAAAATAAATGATCTTTTTTTCTTATTATTTTTAAGTAATTTTTAAATCTTACTTTTTAAATTTTTTTAAAAACATTTCATAAATAATAAATAAATATTACAATATTTTTTAAAAATAAATTATTAATATTTGAGAAAATTTTAAAAATTATTAATTGTTTATAGTAATTTATATATAAATGAGAGTGAAATTATAAATTTATTATCTTAATTTGAAGACGATAAATAATTTTAATAAATTAAAATATAAATATTATATTTTTAAAAATATATAGTTAATAAATTTTAAATTTCAGTATACTTAGTTATTATGTCTTTACTTATTATTTTGCATTTATCAGTTAAACTAACAATTATTTAGCTTTGAGTAACTTTAACTTATCTATTAATTTTGTGAGAATACAGTAAAACTAGTAGATAAGTTAGCTGAAAATTAAAATATAAAATTAATTGATTAAATTGAAGGTCTTCGATAAAATTAGTTGATAAATATAAACCGACAAATTAAGACGTCACTACTTTTCATTTTAAAATTTGAAATTTAGTAATTATATATTTTTAACGAATATTTTTTAATCTTATTTTAAAATAATTTCATCAAATAAAATAAGATTATATAAATTAAATTATATTATTATTTTAATGATTTTATATTGTAAAAATAAATTTTAATATTTTATTGTGTTTAATAAAATTTAATGAATTTTTAAAACATATAAACATAAAAGAAATACAGGAAATAAAATTTTATAAATTAAAGAAAATAAATTATTAAAAAATAAGACAAAAAGAAAGCACTTTCAATCAACTACTGAAAAGTAATATTAAAAAAATGTTAAATAAAGTAACATTCATAAAATCTTTAAAATGCTAATAATTACTTATTTCAACTACTTTATTAATGTTCACTTAAGATAGATTTTTAAAGAAATATTTATGAAGTAAAAAAATTAATATAAAAAATAAATAATTTTTTTATAAATAAAATAATTTTATATTTCTCTATTAGAAGTTATTTTTTCTAAAATTTGAGTGTATAAGTTGTTTTAATTTATGAAAGAAATTTTATTATCTTTTACACTAATTTTTACTTTTTATAAATATTTTTTTATAAATTTATCTAAATAAAATTATTTTTACTGAAAAATCTTTTATTTAACAAGATAAACTCTCAAGCTAAATAAAATATTTTATCAAACACATTTTAGAAAAATTAAATATTACATTTATATATTTTTTTATTATCAAATTATATTACACCGAGCTTTATCTTATAGTTGACTTTTCCTTCCATATTTTCGAACTTATACGCCAATAATTCTACCTCCTATGTAAACGTGACAGATGTGGAAAATAATAAAATTTGTTAATTAGCGTTTTCTTAGACGAGGTATGATAAAACAACACCCTTTTAACTTTTTTATTAATTAAAATTTATTAAAAATTATAAAAATACAAATGAAACTTATTAAATTGAAAATATCATTCACATAATTTATAATGATTTTTAATTAATAAAAATATTAGTAATATTTCTTGTTCTGTTTGGTGTAAATGAAGGAGATATGAGAATACAACGTATTATCTTTCAATGTGAAATTATTAGAGGGTTTGAACCGTCAAAGTTAAAGACATGAATGGAATTGTTTGCTCTGTTAATTTTCTCAATTATAAAAAGACATGATGATTTTTTGTGTAAGTATAAAATTTAAAGATAAAAGATCGAAAAAATAATAAAATTTAAAAAATTATTAACGACAATTTATTTAAAATTTAAAAATTATTAATAAATATTTTTAACATGATAATAAAATATAAAAAGTATAAAAAACAGTTTAAATTTATTTTTGGAAATTTTTGTCAAAAATAATTAATAACAATTATTGAAAAGAAATTATATTTTTGTAATTTAAAAAATCCATATTTATATAATTAAAAAAAGAAGCCACGTTGAATAGATATTTTGTATTAGCTTTTTTTCTTCCTTCAGCTGTTATACTTATTGTCTCCAAAGGTGTGCTCTTTTGTTTTAAAGCTTGTCAGTGGTCAGTTGTCAGTGGTCAGTTCAGTACTTTATTCTGCGAAGCTTTTTTTAAAAAAAAAATCAATTTAGTTTTTAAACAGGTGTCCACTTACAACACACAATTAAATTAATAAATTAAACCATTGATAATAAATTTTTGGTGCAAAAATAATGAAAAATCTTAGATTTATCTGTGACATAAAATTCAAAATGAAAAGAAGACAAATGCATGAATAGGACCCAACCCAGGAGCGATAGGGTTGGAGAGGCTGTTATTCATCCATTCTGCTGTTTATCGTTTCTAACGAACGAGTGACTCACGTGTTCTGTATGCCAACATTATTACCCTTCTATTCCAAATACACTTGTTTTATCTTACATTTATCTCTATTATTTTTCTTGTTTAGAAAAATGTTATACAAATACATAAAATATTATTCAATAAGCTAGAATGAGTTGCTCCAATTGATGAATCTAGATAATTTAATTTTACTAGATTATAAGTTATTCAAAATTTACTTAATTTTATGCTTCACGTTTCATATATAAAAATATCTAATTGTTAAACTTGATACCTGTCCTCGTATATATCGCACATCGTCTTCAGAATTTAAACAATTCACGTGATGTTGGTACGGTGTTGGGTCCAACATCAGCCATTCGAAGCGTTTCCCCAAATCAGTGTCTTTTGTTCCTTAGGTCAACACATGTACAACGGGAAACATTTCGAAAGCAGCGTGCTATCTTTCTTATTTAGTAAATAAACTATTTGCCATTATATCAACATGCTTTGGTTTACTAAACATATTATTGCTAAATTAATTTTCTAATTTTAGATTTTTTATTTTTATGTTGTAAAAATATAACAACATAATATTAATTTTATTAAAAGTATCATAAAATTATAAATAAAAGTTAATGCAAATGATAAATAATTTAATATCAGTTATTCAATATCGTTTAAGTAAAATTTTAAATTATTATTATATATTAAAAAAATAAAAAAAACTTCAATAATAAAGTCATCCATATGATACACATTAAAAAAAAAAAATACATATCTGTCTTTGCATACTAAAGACTATCTTAAAATGGTGAAGCCACTAAATTAATCGTAGACCAGTATAAGCTGCAGTGTCATGACGTATATGTACAGACTAGCATATCAAACAAAATCCTCGACCCAAGAAAATAAAGCAAATCAAACAAATTAAAACCGATCTTATTTCCTGTAAAGTGAGCATTTTCCCCCTTTCTATGTCATCTAAAGTGAGGATTTTACTTACAAACTAAATGAAAGCATATCATTGAAATCGTAACATTTAATTTTGACTCACTTTGCTATTTAAAATAAATTTCTCGCAGAGAGGAGCTGAATTTCTTTTTTTTTTTAATATGAAATGATGAATTTTGAGCAGATATTATTTAAACATGGCATGATTTATTGTTCATTTATTATAAAACTCAGTGATTAAAATTTGTTGCTCTGTGTATATAAATTGAAATTTAGAACATAGATAAAAGGTCCTAGGTAATTATCCTGGTCCTGGGATCAGGATATATACTGACAGGAAAAAGGCCACCAAAGTGACAGAATATGTTCTATTTATTTTGATGGACAACCGAGTGTCTTGGAATAAATTCAATGGTTGATACTGATTATCAAATAACGAAGCACTGATGCAAAACAAACATTTTTCTTAATTAATAATTTTAACGGTCCACATTTTTAGCATTAAAAATATAATAATTCGAGTGTTTTTACGATTCTGAATTCTCAATCCACATCTCCATCTACCCAAGCACAGTTGACTATGAAGACTTACTATTGAAGAAGTTAAGGCTTTTAACTTAAACTTTTTAATGGGCATTTCCTCCTCAACTTCAATTTCTGTTGTTCACTTCAGCACATGAAAAATGAGAAGAAACATGTCAAAAGTAGCATGCTTCACTCTCTTTCTTTTTGTAGTAGCACTTCATGTTGAATGCCGTTCTCTTCGCACAAGTGTTTCTAATGAGTTGGTTTCTGATGGGGTTGATGATGTTCAACCTCGAGACTCTTATCTACGACTCAAAGACCAAAAGGTTGAATCTTCTGGTGGGACATACTGTAAGCAAATGTATGGTTTCTTGCCATGTTCCAACAACATTGTTGGTCATCTCTTCCTCATTTTGGTTTATGAGTACTTGTTGTTCCATGGAGAATCATATTTGGCTGCTGGGGGTGAACAAATCTTCAAGATTCTTGGTCCAGGTGTTTTTGGTGCTAGTGCCTTTGATATTCTTGGTGCTCTTCCAGAGTCCTTAATTCTTGTTGGTATGCTACTACTCTATTACGTTTTCTTTCATATTTTTGTTTCTCAACTTAAATTCAAAGCTTTTGCTGTATGTGGTTAAATTGTTGATATTTAGTTATTTGGGTTGTAATCTAATAGTATCTTTGTAGCACTCATCAGTTACTGTTATTTACAATGATTTATCTTCATACTCTATCCTAATTATTTTTGTGGTTCTTGTTTGTTTTCACTTATCAGTTACTGGACTTTCCAGTGACAAGGAGCGTGCACAAGAGTATGCTTCCACTGGAGTTGGATTGTTGGCTGGATCTTCTATTTTGCTTCTGACAGTAGTGTGGGGAACGTGTGTTATCGTTGGCAAGCAAAAGTTGAAAAATGAGTCTCACTCTGATGGCTCAAATTCATCAAGTGGACCAATAAGAGAATCATTGACTGGTGTGCTCTTGACTCTTTTTCTATATTTAAGTTCCTTAACTTGTAATGCAAATTAATGAACATTCCCTCCATTTAAAACAAAAGTTTCCCGTTCATGCTTGTTTTTTGAAGTTTCAAATTCTTCCTTAGCATTACCTTAACTCCTTTTTAGTTGCTTCATGTTTAATGTGTAGTTCATCTCCTTCATTTACAGTCTCCTTTTGTTGGATTCATAGGTTATGGTATTACAATGGATGTAGAAACTAGAAAGATGGCAAGAATCATGGTTTTCTCAGTTATACCACTCATCATAATGCAGATTCCCAATTTATTCCGTCTCTCCACTACGCCAAGTGATGTGACCTTGATGATTGCTCTAACTGTTGCTGTTGCCTTTCTCATCTCATACTTCATTTACCAGGTTTCTCATCCAACACTTCATATTTGCTTTAAGTTGATCCTTAAAATAATTTAGACACAATTTAGATAAATTTTTCAATAAGTGCTAATAGAAGTAAAATATTAAGTAACAAAATGAATGAAACTTTTACTATAAGTCAAAAAGAACTTTTGTTTCTTTATTTTTAAAAGTTCTTTCATTTAATTTCTCTAAAACTTAAAGAGTATAAGTTATTTTTAATTTCTTTATTCATTTGTCAAATTAATTTTTTTCTTAAGTACTTATTTAGAATCTGACATGAATCGGGTTAGCTTCTGTTGTTTGATATTTTTCAATGCCAAATTTCCTTCTTATTTTTGACTAATGAATCTGCAGATCTTCAAACCTCAGATAGAGAAAACAAGACTAGAATACATAAAACATCATGATTTAATATTAAGAATTTTTCAACGTGTTGAGAAGCAAACTCTACAAAAGATCCTGACCGAGGATGGGACTCCCGATGTAAATGCCATAAGTGTGTGAGTGAGATTTCATTAAATGGTTATTTGCTTGTTTTCATAACAGTTATTGTGTACATAACCTGTAAAACTTGTCACGCAGGCTATATCACGAAATTAGTCAACGTGGGGGACAGGATTTATTAGTTACTGAAGTAAAAGAGTTGCTGCTTGGGAACAAATTAACTGATGCAAATATCAAAGAGGAACAAATAGCAGACTTGTTAAAAGTTTTTGACCGAAATGGTGACCAAATTATAACCAAGGAAGAGTTTGTAACTGGCTTAACAGAATACATTAACCAAACAAAGCATGCTGTAGATAGACAGTACCTCCCTAAAGAATCTCTTAACAAAATGTATCAGGTATGTAATGCACCATGTGACATAATTGCCACACATTATAATACTATGATAGTTTTCTTGTACAATCAAAATCTATTTGATAAAATGCAGGATGTTAGTCCTATCCTTACATTATTTTCACTCTGCTAACAAAGCAGATCTTTATTGTGTTCTTCACAGACTTTTATCAAGCCATGGATTGAACATGTGAGAAAAGAACGTGAATTGAAGGGGCATCTTATATCTGAAGTCTTAAGGCATGCTCAGAATGATATGGTTGGCAGGCTGCGCAAAGATGATGGCGCACCTGATATAGCTGCTATCAAAAGGTATTAGAATTTGAGTGTGGACTCAATTCAAGAGGGAGTCCACACTTTAATTTGTTGTTAACTGACCAATGTGAAACTTTTATTATCCTTGAGGAGGTCCACATATTGATCTTTTTGTCATATATATTAAACAGTGACTCAGTTATTTTACTAAGATGTTCATTGAGTTCAACTGTATAGCAAGAACCAAGTATCATAATCATAGATATTATTAAATACAAAAAATTCTATGGTTTATGAGATTTGGTTGTCTATTAATGCTCAGTAAAATTATAAGTTTTTTTACTTGTTCTCATGGCCATTTTGATGCGACAGGTTGTTTGAGGAATTTGATATCAATCAGGACCACCACATTTCAAGATCTGAACTAGGAAAAATAGTCAAGGGCATCCAGTTTGGTAAGGTTGTAGATGCAGAAGAGGCAGTTTCAAAACTAATTCAAGATCTTGATCACAACAGAGACAATGAAATTAGTGAGAATGAGTTTGTTGAAGGTCTTACAAAATGGATAAACTCAAATCCCAATCAAGCTTCCAACTCAAAATCTTCATCTCATCAAATTCATCGAGTATTTCCATTTTTCCTTTACTCTAAAACTTACCATTTTCTAATTTTCATCATTTTTTTTTCAAGTAGTATATAACATATAATTTACACATGATCTGTGAAATTATTGTTTATTTAGACCTGGGAAGATGTTGAAAAGGTAATGGAAGAGAATCATACCAAAGGAGCATGTGCATGGTTGACGGCTATAGCATATGTGGTGTTGGGAGTTACTATACTGTCTCTTCTTGCAGAGCCACTAATAGCGAGTGTCCAAAAATTCTCAGAAGATGCAGGAATGTCACCATTTTTCATCTCATTCATTTTAGTCCCCTTGGCTACAAATTTTAGAGAAGCAACCTCAGCAATCAAAGAAGCTAGCCATAAGAAAAGCAGTAATACTTCTCAGACTATGTATGAGGTTAGTCTCTTTCATTAACAAGGTCACACAAATAATCACAACCACTTAATTTTATGCACACAATCAAAATATATATAATAAATTTTTATTAAAAATCACATTATAGCACAAATTTAATATGGCAATAATATTAAATACTATAATTTTCAAGAAAAACTTATTATTTATTAATTTCTTATTATGTGTTCTTAAACATACATTAAAAAAAAAAACTGATTTTGAAAAATTAGCAACTAAGATCATAGAAAAAAATGATTAGAGACTTCAATTTTTTAACTAGAGACTTATAAGAAGATTTGATTTGGATGAATGTAGATTTATGGAGCAGTGTTCATGAACAACATTCTTGGCTTTGTGGTGATTTCCATTCTTATATACATGCGAGATATCACTTGGGAATTCTCAGCTGATGTACTAGTTGTGGCAATTGTTTGTGCTGTTATGGGCCTCACAGCTACTTTTTGGCACACTTTTCCTCTTTGGACATCCTTCCCTGCATATCTCATGTACCTATTATCATTGCTTTTGCTTTTTGTTCTTAAAGAAGTTTTATTTTATGTTTAGTGACACAGAAACTGGGAATGTGGATTATATTATGGGGTCGTTCATGTTTAGTGAATTCTAATGGTGTAGTTGATGCCTTGATCAAAGGTGAATTCAGGTATACACCTAATGAAAGGAAATTTCATGAGTATTAAACACTATTAGACCCATTTGCTCGAGCTATTCAAGCATGCCTTGTATAATGTTGGTCAAAATAGTGAATCATCAATTACATAAATCTATCGCCATATATTTGTGAGTTTTAATTTTTAAATAATTTTTTTTTCAAGAACATTTTTATGGGATGTTTTTCTTCCTCAGGTAATTTTTTATGTATTGAACATTTATTTTTAAAAATTTAATCTTAATTTAAATTTTATGTTTCAATTTTTGATAAATTAATTTTTAATGTTAAAACTTTATCTTTTAATTTAGTCGAATTTAATATAATAAAATATTTATTTAATAATAATTAAAATATTTTTAAAAATTGACCAGTTTATATATTTTATTAGATCCTTTATTTTGAAATCTTAGATAATACATAATTTTGATTAAAATGATTAATTTTTACACTGATATTTAATCATGGATTATCATATTATTAAAAATTGCTAATATTTTTTTATATAAAAATTACTTTAAATTATAGCTGCAGTATTTTTAATTAATTTATAGTAAAAACTACTGTGTGCGTGTGTGTGTATATATATATTATAGTTTTATAGATGAATTAATTTAAAATATAAAGTTATAATTATTTAAAAATTGGTTTGGTAGATAATTATATATTTATATGTCATTTACATTTATAAGTTAGTTGATTGATTGGTTTTATTAAATACTTTTAATTATATTAGTTAACCAAACAATTTTTAGCTTTCTTTTTTTATTTTAAGCCAGATTTTCAATTTTTAATTAGCTTATTTGATAATTCTTTCAATCATACCTTAAATTAGGAATGTTGATTGTTCAGTTTAGTTTAATTTTTATTTAAAATATATTATAATCATAAAAATAATATGCAATTGGTTTAAATGTAGTATCAAATTGAACTAAACTAAATTGATATTTTACGATTCAGTTTTGATTTTAAATAAATTTAATTTTTCTAAATTTATTTATTTTTTCATGTCTTTTAATTTAAATTTTATTCAAATAAAAAAATAACTTAAAATTAAGGGAATTTGTTCAGAAAAAAGTAGAGATAAGAGACATTACTTAATGACAAAACTCTAAAAGAAAAAGGTAAAATCATTGACGGAGAATTAAAAAAAAAATACTCAATTAATATAAATGAGAAATTTAAGAAAATAAAAATAGTGCATTGTATATTTATATATTATTATGATAATATATATATATATATATATATATATATATATATATATATATAAGTCAATAAAAAGAATTATAAATGTATATGGTATGATTCGATTTAGTTACATCTTAATAATAGGAATTGTAATCCAAACAAAATTAAATGTTTTCAGTTTTTAATATGATTTGGTTTGATTATTTTTTTCAGATTGATCTGATAGGTTAAAATTAGTTTGATTCAATAAATGGAATGGAGATTTAATAAAAACTGTAAATTGAATCAAAATAGTTGAAAAAGAAACCTGATCTTATGAAATTGGTTAAAAGTAAAGTGTTTGAGAACTTACTTGCGAGTCAAAATTTCTGATGTATGTGGAATTGTATAAGAAGTTTACAAGTTTTAATCCCCAGTTACATTGTATCAATTAATATTCACAGGCAAAAGTCTTGACTATAAGTGATTTTTAGCAGTCATTCTTGAAAACTTTTGACAATAGTTCTATGATAACTTGTAATTTCCCTTTAAATTCTATGCTCCTGGTTTTGTTTTATCTTCAAACCTTACTTTTCAATTATATTTTGATCGAAGATAAAATATGTTTTGACATTTGGTCAGAATGGTTTTGATATATATTAATACATGCATAAATTTTATTTGATTTATGTAACCTTGGCCTTAAATTGTTTTTATATGATATTCAAACCCCTAATAGTTAACTTGTCTTCGTAAACTTAATAGTTGGCTCTTTCAAACGAATTGCAAATAGTTTAATACCTAATTAACTATCATATAAATAAATTTTTTTGAACGTATATCCTTTTAGTATTTATTATTGATACATTAAATAATATAATATATAATTCCAATAAAAATTATTATATATAAATTTTCATTATGTGCACTTAAGTATGCATATAAAAGATCATTAACAGATTAATTATAAGCAGAGAATTTATAGTAATGATATCTTATTTTCTAAGCTTCTTAAGTACGTAAATGGAACAATTAAAAAGATCGAAACGCGTAAATGGAGATCAAATGATGAAAACTAATAGAAAAATCTTCCATTTCAGCTGAACTGAGTTATTCTCAAGACCATAAATATTTCTATCTTTTAGATGGTGCTATCAACACGTACGTACTGTAAAAATAAAAAGTAGAAGTCGGAACAATTCTTCTGTGCAATTTCCATGAGTGCAAGAAATCTACTCACAAATGCATACGCTCATTACGACGAAATGCAAGCAAGCATAACTTAACAACATTTTGGTTCTTCGCAGCTTAATAATCATGCTATATTTATTACATTGAAAAGGAGCAGAGTTTCTATATTAAGTATATATTATTGTGTTGCGTCCTATATTTTCTTTATTATTATGCGTCGCTTTATGTTGTACGCGTAATGATATTGTTCAGTATATTATGTCATTGTTATTACAGAGAGGGACTGTATTAGTGTTTCTCTTCAATTCCACTCGGCAGTGACACTTGCATTGCATTGATTCTTTCTTAGTTTGAATGATTAAAAATAACTCAGGGTCATTTCATCACAACCAGTTGTTTATTATAATTTCATATTAGGAAAATGATGTGCCTATGTTCCTAAAACTGGTTGTGAAATTAAATATAATAAAAAAATGATATAAAAGGAAATTAGATACACAGAAGCAGTCAAGCAGAAGATAAAAAATGAACGGAAGAGAAAGTATGAAAATATAATAATTACAGTGAAGTTGCGGAATGCAGAAAAATGAAGAATATCCGAGTTGCTGGTTATAAAATTATAATTTCAAAAAGTTTATTGAAACTCTATTATGTCATCTGTTTGTTGAAAATCGATAATACTAACATTTTTAAATTATCATTACATAAATTGTAATAAAAAATGATAAAAGAATGTGATGATACCATATACTAAAGAGTTCATTACCCGAAAGCTTCTTTCAGTATTAAAATTTGAAAGAGGCACCTGTTGACTGAAAATTGTTTAATTTGTTAGCTTTCTTGTGCTTATAAAGGGATATGGATGATGATTGATGAGCAGTGGGCACAGCTAGTCTGGTAAATTTGCTGTTATGGAAACCATGCATAAGTTTGTTCCTCTCATTTGTTTAATCACCATGATTAAAATTGTGTTAGGAAAATCAACAACACATTCTTATGGTGTTGCTGGCTTTAATTTCACTGGCATAATAGGAACTATTGTAGACAAAAGTTCCCGCAATGGCAAAGAGGAGATAGTGGCTATTAAGATGGCATTGGAGGATTTCTATCAATACAGCAACCAAAGGTTTGTTCTGCAGATAAGGAACTCTCAAGGAGATCCCCTTAAGGCTTCTCTTGCAGGTTTATATTTACCTCCAAAAATAACATAATCCTTTTTTTTTAAAACCAAGACAGTTTAGTTCTCTAAGCATACTTTTTATTATTGCATCTTTAGAACACATACTTTAAGATACACGTGATTTTAATTTTTTATTTATTTTTTCAGCTATTTAAATTAAGTCTCTATAAATTCGAACTTAATTTCTATTTTAAATTTATTTTTTTTACATTTTTGTTAACTTTCATCCTCACAATTGAGTTTAAGCAATTAATAATAATTAAATTTTATTTAAAAAAGCATTTATTACCCTTTTGTTTCTATGCTATAATAAATATTTTTATTAATAAAAGTTAACTATTTTGTAATATTAAAAGTAAGTTAGGGCTGAAGTTTATTTTTAATTGTAATGGTAAGTATAATAATGTACAAATTCACCTAATTCTAATTTATTCTTATGCAGCCAGAGATCTTGTTGATAAAAAGCAGGTGCAAGCAATTATAGGGCCACAAACATGGGAAGAGACAACTTTAGTAGATGAGGTTTGTAGCCAACGCAAGACACCAGTTCTATCCCTAGCTGATGCAGCTCCAAAGTGGTCAACTTCGAAATGGCCCTTCTTGGTGCAAATGTCACCAAGTGAAATTAAGCAAATGAAAGCAATAGCTGCTATTGTTCAGTCTTGGAAATGGCAGCGTGTTAACGTAATATATGAAGATAGCGATGCTTCATCCACACAACTTTTATCCTATCTTTATAGTGCCTTCAATGAAGAAGGTGTACTTATAAGCATGCTTTTAGCCATCCCATCTTTTATTTTCTCTTCATTGTCCCAAGAACTGGAGAAGCTTGGAGACAAGCAAAGTCGAGTCTTTATTGTTATCTCTTCCCTTCCTTTGGCTATAAACCTTTTTGAAACTGCAAATAAAATGAACATGATAGAGAAAGATTCTGTGTGGATCATAACTGATCCTTTCACGTGTCTTGTTCATTCCTTGAATGCATCTACTATATCCTCCATGCAAGGGATAATTGGAGTTGAGAACTACTTTAAAAAAACAGGGCAAAAATATTATCACTTCTACATTAAATTTCGCCAAAAGTTTAGCTCAGAGTACCCTCAGGAATTTAACAACGAGCCTGGGATATTTGCAGCTCGTGCCTATGATGCTGCATGGACTCTAGCTCTATCCATGAGCCAAACCAACATTAAAGTGGGCCAAGTTTTGCTAGATAAGATTTTGCTTAATAATTTTATTGGCTTAAGTGGAAAAATTCAGTTCACTGACCAAAAGTTACCTCCTTCACATACTTTTCAGATCATCAATGTGATAGGAAATGGTTATAAGGAAATTGGGTTCTGGTCAGATGGATTAGGTTTCTCAAATAATGTTAGCCAAAATGCTACTTACAGTTCTTCAATGAAAGAACTGGGACAAGTTTTATGGCCAGGAAGACCTTGGGATACTCCAAGAGGATGGGCCCTGCCAACAAGTGCAAAACCACTAAGAGTTGGGGTTCCTGCTTTGTCCACACTAAAACAATTTATAAATATAACCCATGATCAATCCAAAAACATTGCCTTCATACAGGGATTTACTATTGATCTTTTCAGAGAAACCATGAAGTTGCTGCCCTACCATTTTCCGTACAAACTATATGCTTTTAATGACACATACGATAATTTGGTGAAGCAAATTTATTTGAAGGTGAGAATTCTTAATTATATTGTGCTTGCGAGCATTATCTCAACTTTATTACTTACATAATATCTTATCTCTAGCAATTATTGGACTCAAATTTGATGTGTTACTATGTCATATCTTTTAATATATTATATATACTGTATAATCCATGTTAACTTTGCATCAAAATTACTGGGTTAATGTCTGATATGCGATTATGGCATATGTTGTCACCCAAGTTGTTTAATGTCTGTTGCTTATGCATGAAGCAGAATTTTGATGCAGTGATTGATGTAACAATAATTTCATACCGATATCAGTATGCTGAATTCACTCAGCCATACACTGATCCGGGTGTGGTGATGGTAGTCCCCCTTAAATCAAAAGCAGGACATAGAGCTTGGTTATTCATGAAGCCTTTTACAAAAACAATGTGGATTCTAATAGTGGTCATGATTATCTACAATGGCTTTGTTCTATGGATGTTGGAAAGACATCATTTCCCTGAACTTAATGGCTCCACGCTGACCATGGCTTGGTTGACACTAACCCCTCTCATCAACTTCAATGGTAATTTCACTAATATGAGATTTTTCTTACTTATTTGCTCTAATTTCATCTGATTACTCAGTTGATATTGATTTGGTTTACTTGAATGAACATAGACACAGGGTACAAGTTGTTGGGTTGGACTCCCAACTATGTGTCCAAAAAGTCCAAATTTTCAAGCTCATTTTCTACACTTAATTGAGGGGAGTGAGAAGTCAGAAGAGAGTGGGTGAGAGAAGTCTAGATTGGAGTATTTTTTCGCAGCCTAGTGTGTGTATTTTCGCAGAGAGACATCAAAAAGAAAGAAGGGGAAGTGAGAGAAGAAAGAAGCTCCTGACCAGCTACTTTATTCCTTAGATATCTGATTTTATCACCGTTGGATCAGGCTGAAAATTTTACAGCAGGTTTGTAACACGGTGCTCTTAGTTCTGACCGTTAGGATTGTCGATTGAATGTCTGAAGTTGGAGATATTGTCTTCGCACAGAAGCCCTGTTTTTGGTGACTCTGCACAGACCAGCCGCATAGAAATTGTTATTTCTCCTTATTAAACCGTTGGATTGAGCTGAAACGTTGACATCAGTTACCAGACGTATATTTCTTCGTTCTGACCGCTGGGATCGTCGATTGGAGGTTTTGGCTGAGATAAATTGTGTCTAAACAGCAGTCCTGTTTTGTGAGATTTTCTCTCTTTGGTTAGGCTTTATTGCTTGGTTGTATTAGCTGTTGTTTGCACGAATTTGTGCAATATTTTGAGACTCTCTTGTAACCTCATTTGATTATAGTGGAGCTTGATTGACTGGTTTGAGCCCGTAGGTTTTTACTTCTCACATTGAGAGGGTTTTCCCACGTAAATAATTCTCTGTGTCCTTGTGTTTGTTGCTGCTATTTGTTATTGTTGTTGCTACTCACAGGTTCTTGCAAGTTTGGAGAATTGTTTCCGCTGCTTACTTTAGATAATTGTGTTCTTGTATTTGGTTTTCCCCAAAACAAGTTACACAACAGCTTATCAAGGATGGCTATGGTAGTGTGGCTATTTGTGGCACTTATCATAACACAGACTTACACAGCTAACCTTACCAGCATGCTAACTGTTGAAAGGCTTGAGCCGACAATAGATAATGTTGATCAGCTAAGAAATAGCAATGCTGTGGTTGGATACGGTATAGGATCATTCTTGAAAAATTATCTTCAGGAAGTTTTACAGTTCCATCCTACAAACATTAGGCAATTCGGCGAGCTTGAAGAGTTTGCTGAAGATCTCAGAAGGAAAGAAATTTCAGCTGCCTTTTTTGAAGTTCCTGCAAGTAAAATTTTTATTGCAAAGTATTGCAAGGAGTTTATTCAAGCTGGGCCTATTTATAAGATTGGAGGATTTGGATTTGTATGCTTTAACACTTTGTTTATCTTTCTATTCATGCTTTAGTATTCCTTCTGTTGGATATTTGTTTAAATTCTTCTGTGTTATTTTGAATTTTTCAGGCATTTCCAAAGGGATCTCCATACCTTCCAAGTGTAAACCAAGCACTTCTAACTTTATTTGAAACTGGCAAGCTTCGAGAATTAGAGAACAAAATGCTTGCATTGGAGAAATGTGAAAACACACAAACAGATGAAGAAACTGCTAGTCTCAGTCCTAATAGCTTTTGGGCCCTCTTCACTTTAACAGCAGGCACATCAACAATTGCTCTCTTGGTTTACATTATTGGTGTGAATTATTCAAACATGGACATAAAAAAATCTGGAGACTGATGACTCAACAATGGGGATATGCCAAGAGACAAATCACAAGAAAAGTTAGTGATGTTGCAGAAAGTTCTAAGGAATCTCCAAACACACATGCTACGGCCAACTGAATTTTAAAACTATGAGGTCACTTGGCTTTAGCAGTGAAAAGGTGATAATGTATTGATAGGGACACAAAATGTGCAAGCAAGAGTGCTTGACCAATTTATTATTAAGTAACTTCAATTGTGTTTGTAGGCAAATGAGCTGGTTAGTATGTCAGGAAAGGTAAGGTAAAGGTAACGTTCTAGGTTGAACTCTTAAGTAAACCAGTAGTGTTTGTTGCAAATATGTGTCTTAGTTTTCACATGTAAAAATATAAAATATTTTTAAGATATTTTTTCCTATGACTATGGTTTTGGGTGATTTTCCTGAAAAATTGAGAGTGCTTCATGGGATTTTAATTTTTTGAAATAGTCAATGCAAAGAAAAATATTAAGTAAAATATAGCGGTGAATTTCCTGCTTGAATCCACAGCAAGCTTGTTCGTTAGCAATTATTAGCAATATAATTAAGTGCATGTTCAGCAGAAATATATTTATTTAATGTACAGTGTACATAATACTAGGTCCATTTTTTCTTTTCTAAGTTCATTATTTATTATGCACTTTCATTACTGTACAAATCCAGTGCACTTTACTCTATAACTAAGGTGTTGTGTAATAGCTCTAACTAAAATTTTCTAATGCGATAAACTAACATAACCGGTTGTACAAAATTAGTTTGTATCAGCTTTAGTGAGGGAGAGTTCCTCCTTATGATGACAATAAGGTTAACCTACCCATCATAGAAAACTGGTCACAAGGTCTATAAATCCAACACAATTCACATAAAAATGATTATAAATGGGATAAACCAATAACTGCTGTGTATTATTTAACATTCAATTAATATGAATATGATTAACTTGTTCTGTTGACCAAAAATGTTTCCATACCTTATTTTTTAATAAAACAATTTCTTAATGCATTAACATCATAATCATACAAATAAAGTAGAACTTTTATCCTATGCAATTTTCAGGCTAAGAATGTTGGCCATAATGATCTACAGTGGCTGTGTTCTATGGATGTTGGAAAGATGCCACAGTTCTGAAATTAAAGGTTCCATGCTGAATCAAATTGGCCCATCTGAGGACCATGGCTTGAAAGTTGTATGCTTTAACTCTTGTTTTTTTTTTTTTTATTCATACATTACTATTTAGAATTTAATTGAAATATTCTCTCAAAAAATAAAAATAAAAAAATTCACTATTATCTAATTATGGATGGCTATATCGTTGTCAAAAATATTAACTTTTGCAACAACTACTTTAAATGTCATATTTGCGTTGTTTTTAAATTGATTGACAGTGTATTAAAATTAATCTCTTATTTATTTGTTAGAAAATTGTTTTTGTAATGTTGCTTTGTGTTTGAGCTTTGTAGGCATTTCCAAGGGGGTCTTCATTTCTTCCAAGGGTAAACAAAGCATTGCTTTCATCAGAGCAATGTGAAGACTATGAACTAGATGGAGAAACTACAAGTCTTAGCTCCAACAGCTTCTGGGTCCTCTTCAGATTGACAAGAGGCACATTAACAATTGCTCTCTTGGTCTACGATGTTCATGTGAATCATGCAAACCGTGAAGAGGAAACAATCTGAAGACTAATGATAATGATGATTATTCAGCAATGAGGCCATGCAAAGAGAAGAATGTCAAGTAGAGTTAGTGATGTTGTAGACATAACAGGTTACTTGGTTGAGGAGGGAATAGTGTTGTTGTACATAGGGTGACATAAAATGAGCAACCAATAGTGCTAATACCTTATTGCAAAGAATAAATTTGATTGCTCAGCTCGGCAGTGAAGTAGTCAGTATGCTATGGTAAGGTAGGGTAGGATAGGGGTAAGGGTAAAGATCTTTGGTTGAACTATGTAAACTAAACCTATTAGTGTTGTAAATATCAATATGTCCCCTAAAGTTCACATATTAATAAAAAAGAAGTTTAGTATGATTGCTTAGCAGGCCAAGTCCCTGCATAAGTCTTTACTTCATTTTCAGTCAATTCACAATGTGTTTCTTGCTGAAATACACAGCAAACCTGTTCATGACCAATTATGAGCAATATAATTGTGTTCAGCTCTTAAAACCCTACGAAATTTTAAAATTAGATTTAGTCACGATGATTGTTCTGCTTTGTTTCAAGGAACATCATCATTATCTTTCCTTGTGGGGGCTGCATAAGTTCAAACCAATTATGAATCTGACTTTTGTCATTAGAAAAAATAATGTAAAGCTGCAACTCTCAGTGCAGTACAACTATTCAAGTAACGGGAGTTATCCAAGTACCCCAAAAAGTTATATTGTAAAGGATTGGATCTTGCTGCATTTGTCTTTCTTCTTGAACCACCACGTTGTAATGTGACAGTATCATGTCATAATCAATAAAAACTATGGTGATAAAAAAATGGAAGGACACTGGATTTGACCATAAAAGTCAACTGCCATCCTTTGAGATAAATTAAGCACATTAGCGACATTTAACTGCTCTTGGAAATCATTGTCTATCTTACCGAAAAAAACCGAAAGAAACAAACCATTGTCTCTACTTATATTTGGGTTGCATTAACCAAAACCACCCTATTAAGCACTTGGGGCATTTTAGCCTAAAGAAAATTTATTGGCTTTAACCGGGCACATGATATGCTTCGAGTGACTCTAACCTATTCATGTATGCTTCAACATGATATTGAATTGAGATTGATGATACAAAATCTATTTTACATATAAATCAAAGAAGTAAGAATAAAGGTTATAATTCACTTAATATTTTGTACAATTTTCCCAAAAAGATAAAAAGAAGAAATACAAAATAGCAGACAATAAGGCCCAAGGGAAGAAAAACAAGAAAAATACTGCAATCAGACACCCCCTTCCTCCAAAATAATAAAGGAGAAAAATAATTCTCTGACAGCTTCCATGCATATCCCAATACAAAACCACGATGTTTTGTCCCCTTATTCCACCCAACAAGAAAAAAAAAAATCATTGAGAATAATTTTCTGTTAAAAAAGAAAAACAAAAAGTGTAATTAGAAAAAATCAAATCTTGAAATTCCAATCCAACCCCAGATAACCAATCACCTTGAAAGCTAAAAATTCTCCAATCTACTCATGCAATCCACTTGTCAACTTCCTACACTCCAGCCTCATAACTGTGTTAGGAGCCCCACATCAACATTGATGGGAAACACATCACGTGAAAGCTCTAGTTAGCACCAAGGAACATACATCCACAACACTATTCCTTGTCTCTTCCCTCTCAACTAAGAAGTTGCTCCTTATCCTTGCATCCCAATGGTTGAGAAACTGTTAGTTGCTGATGAAGAGTGTGTGGTTACATTGGTGGTTGTGGCTGTGATGTTGGAGATTGAAGTGAATGTCCATTGTTGTTGACTGTGTTAGCCATCTTATGTAGGTTCTGTTGTTGGTAGATTTGCCTCAGTCTCTCTATTTCCTTCTTCAATGCTTCTTGATGAGCTGAGAAAGATTCAAAAATACCCACTATCTCAATAATCATGGTGCTTTTACAAGTTCCAAAGGGGACTATTATCCACAGAGATCGAATAAAAGAATTTAATTCTCATGCTTCAAAAAATGTGCTTTTTTCAGAGACAATTTCCCTCTGATAGATTTCAAACCTAGATATCAACATCAACATGTTTCATCAAAATCAAGAATCTTACGATATGTCTTACATCTAGTTAAGTCACACGCACGTCTTATATCATTCGAACTTCCAGGAGAATAATAATCTTAGTCAAATGCTAATATCTACCTTTAGAGCATTAGGCATTATTTAAAAAACTAAAAATAAAACCGTTATCATAAAATGTAATAAATGATTTTTTTAACGGATATTTAATCATGCATAAATAAACATATATTGTAATATTTATTAAAAAAATATCACATAATTCAATATATTAACAATATTGAACCTTAGTATACCTTATAAAAATTTATAGATAATTTTTTTAATAAAATTTTTTTACTTTCAATTCTTTAAATAATGTTATAAGGGTATTTAATGAGCAACCGATAATCTTATCACATAAATTTTTAAAAAATCCCAAAATATGGATTACATAATATAAAAGGTAGAGTGAAAATATTTAAAAAGAAAAAAAGTATTATATACCGTCTTTGAAAATCTTGTCTTGGGCCAAAGCAGCAATCCGTTGCTTCAAGGCACTATTGTCGACATTAAGAATCAAACGTTGATGGTCCAAGAATGCAACTCGTGGTGACAATGCTGATACCTCCGTCTTCATTTTAACATATGACTCATAATTAGCACAAATTTTATTTATTCTCTAATATATATACTACTAATTAACAGTCACTTGATTTAGGGAAATTAATATACTAGATGCCATTTTTTATCTTTATTCAGTATATATAACTTTTTTGTTTACCGTGAAAATTAAATTAAAAATATATTTACCTGTAAAGTTGTTACGCTCCTTTCAAGCTCAGAAATGTATTGTAGCTTTCTCACCCTTGACCGCTGAGCTGATTGCCTGTTTGCCAATATTCTGGGAGCCATACAAGTAGTGATAATAAAAAATCATATTTATTTTACACACTTTTAATTTTATATACATAAAATCAATCATTTATCTTACAAGGTTGCGTCAAAGTAGCTTGAAAGAAAAAGGGGTCCAAGAGATATAATTGGATGAACATAATTAACTTCTGCACTCAAGTAGCTTTATTATAATAATCAAGTGTTTTATATGTATTATCCCAATTTTTTTGGTCATCTATTTCACTAGTTAAAAGTGTACTCTTCAAAATGATAAATTGATATTGTATTTATTATTCAATTTTGTATTATTCAACAGCGAAGGGTTTGTCATATTATATGTAATTTTCAGAGAATAATGTCATACACAGCAAGCCACCTTTGACGACTAAACAGATATTATTTATGTTTTAATAAAATAAATTTTTTATACTAATTTTTAATGTGTCAGACAAGCATCCATGCAAATAAATTTTTTTTAAAAAATAAAAGTCAAACTTATAAACTTGTGATATAACAAAATCTTGTTCAAATAAGTATTTAATTAAATTATTCATCTAAATGCATCCTAAACAACTGTACACTAATTTATTTAAAAAATAAAATTATTCTCACTTTCATCATATAAAGATTAAAAAATTAATATCATATATGATTATTTTTATTTTTATCTTATATTCTAATTAAAAAATGCATCTAAAATAAATAACTTTTTATTATTGTATTTTAACTTTCACAGAAACATTTTCCTTGTCATTAATTGTACGTGCATGGAAGGTGGGGAAACTATATAATAATTAACAAAACAATAGTAATTAATATTTTGTGTGATGAAGATTACCTTTTGACCCTCTTGGGATCGACAACGGTTTCAGTGCAGGTGGCGGTGCCGGAGAGTGGCGGCGCCGCCGTCTCATTCTTGCACGAGTTTTCCTCTTCCACAGCTTCCTTCTTAGGCTTCACGTCCAACGCCATTACCATTGGCTTCTCCTCGTTGTTACTATTTTGGTCGGAGGACGGCGAGGAAGGGTTGGAGGCCGACGACAGCGGCGGAGGCGGCAGCGCCACGGTGGCAATGTCGTCGGAGAACATGGAAATTAGCTGCTCCTCGTCGAGCCGGTCGAAGCCGGCTCGACATTCTTCGAGGAATGGCGTCTCGAGGAAGGCAATGGAATCACTGGCGGATCGCCGGTGAGCTCCCCGCCGTGCGGACGAGAAGTCGAGAAACTCGTCGACCCATGACGGAGGTGTGATTGTTGTTGTTGTTGTTGTTGCTGATGATGATGATGATGCTGCGTTTGTTGAGGTAAAGTTTGCCATTGTGGGTACCCTTTGGTGAGGAAAAGATGACCAATTTTGGGGTATGGTTGGTATTTTAGGAGGTAACTGTGCCATTCCCTATGTATATGTGACCCCAAATATAGAGAGATACCGAAAATTTTGTGTACTACGTATAATGGCCTTGTGTATCTAAGTTAAGTGTGTTTGTGTCTGAAAAAAAAATAGAGAGAGAGAGAGAGAGAGGAATAGAGATCCCAACAACCTAACCAACTCAAACAACCGCAAATCTTAGTTCAAAATCTTGTTCTTGGGTTTCTAAAACCAGTGGGAGAGAGAGAGAGAGATTAAAGAGACGATGAGAGGCAATGCCATTGTGCCATGTAAAACCTCATGATGGTGTTTTTATTCATTTGTTATAAAGTTTTTTTTTTTTTGGGTCCTTTTGTTTAGATTTTAGTATATGTAATGTTTGTTTTTCTAAGGTCCTAAGGTTTGGGAGAGAGAATGAGAGAGGAGGTGGGTCACATGGGAGGGGATTAGAGACAGCTAGCAACAGCTAGCTGGTGAAAGACTCAACGGTTTTAGTGGGAAAAATGGAGTGTAGTTTAATAACTATAGGAATCAGCAACCACGTGCAGATGTGACCCCTGCACTTGGCATCCATTATCTCATGTCATAATATTGTTATACCATATAAAATTCATCCCTATAGAACTTATAGGCAGTTTTTTTTTACTACTATGTTAAAAGGCTTGGTCCATAGTATGGCAGTTCCCTCTTGTGTTGTGTCCTATCTATATAGCACTTTAATTACACTGGGATAATGGGACCACCTTCAATGTTTCGCCTCCTGGTTTTCACATGGTCAGTGACTCAGTGTGTGTCATTAGATCCTATCAATTGATTATTCTATGTAATCATCTTTTCTTTATGTGTTTTATTACCATTTTTGGATCGGATTAATGGATACGGCTGGCATCCCATATGTGTACTTTGTTTTGGATCAGATATTGGCCTCCTTTTACTTCTTTATATATTAAGTTAATCTATGAGTATGTAAACGGGTTTTGATCATTCAATTGAGTATTTGGCAAGTTTGTGATTAATGGGTTTTTTTAATTAATATATTTATTTCATTTAAACTAGATCAAAAGCCATGCATGGGAGAAGATCTCTGGGGCAGATTAATTTATGGGATGGTGGTGTATATATTGAGAAGATGGAGGACTTTGGTTAAGTATGAGCTGTTAATAGAAAAGGGCACTTGAGAATCATGTCCTCCATCACCCCCCATGTGAAACTCTTTGTTAGAACCTAGCTTTCTTGCTTTATATATCCCCAAATCAGAGTCACATGGGGAGATTTGTGTTCCTGTTCCTTGCCCTCTCCTCTGAAATTCTGGGTAGCTCCATCATTTCATGCTGGCATCTAGGTTATATTTTTTTTTGTAGTGAATGTACTTAGGACACACTAATAATGATTAGGGGAAAAGATGGAATAATGCATGTTAACTGTCTATTGTTTAATATGTTGTCTTCATATTTTTATTAGTAAACACCCCCACCCACTTTTGGAAACGTTCTTCTACTTGATTAAATATGTGTGTGTAAATTCGATTATTGATGAGTGAGGGGGAGAAAAAAAATCAGATTCCTTCTGAAACGACACTATTATATTAATTCTTTTAAAAATTCATCATTATGATTGCCAATATATTCCCTCAAGATAACTAGGGGCGAACTCATTCCTCTCAAGTTAACTATCCTCTTCACGCATGGTCAATGAGCATAATTCCACTACATGTTCAACACACATAATTAAACATTCAAATATACTCATTGCAAGTCATTAACACATAAAATTAAAATATAATATGCTTTTGATTTATCTTTGTCATGGTTTTATTTTAGGATATCGTTATTTCGAATAAGGTGATGGTTAAAAGTTATTAAACATACCCGTTTAAAAAGTTTTAATTATTTAAAAATAAATATTAAATTATTTTTATTTTTTATATAATAAACGTCTTTTAGTAAAAATGTTACTTTTATTTTCTTAAATTGATTAACATTTACCTTGCTTTTATAAAATCAAGGGCTCGAACTAATGCAATTAAATTAACCGACATGAAGTTCTGGTAGATATATTAATTAATTAATCATAATTATAGGTTTTGCATGTGCACTCCTTACAACTAGGAGAGTTGAAGGTGGATATCTTATAATTACGTATGCCATGGAGCGGGTTTATAGCTCTTATTATTCTAAGAAATGAGGATAAAAAATTAAAACACAACTTTATTAGTTTTGAATTAGAATACAATATTACAAATTTAGGACTTGATAACAATATAAATCAAACATAGTAGTAATGCAATTAAATTAAAATATATCAATTATTAAACTATGTTTTCAGAATAAACGAACATGTAAAATATAACGTTGAAAATCTTAGTACTTGCCCAAAAAAATCGAAAAATTATCAACATTAAAAAATAGAAAATTTGCAAACTCTTTTTGACAAAACAAAATTACAAATTGAGAGAGAAAAATGAGAAACGTAACAAATAAGATACGTAACGTGAAAAGGAGGGACAGGAAAATAAATTATAAAAATTATTATCCACATAAATTATGAGAATATCATTACTTAAAAGATTAATTTGATTTACATATTCTATATTAAAAAAAAAAAACACTTGTCGCCTCTGAAATTAGCTTCAATTTTGCGATCCCTAGAATTCTGTGGTGCCGTACATACGATTTAAGAGAAAAAAGGGGTACGAAGTGAAGAGAAAGAAGCATAATTGCACGTGGGACGACCAAACAAGTCTTTAGTTATTATTTTCTTTTTAATGCTAGTTTTTAATAAAATAATAGTATGTTCACCTTATACACATTACTTTACGTTTATGTAATCTTCACGTACCATTTAATTACACGTAATTTTATTTAATTTTATCATAATTCCATGAACTGGAACATTATATATCAATCAAACAAGTGGCTCATGCATACAAAACCTAACAAACATGTAATATGATGGTGAGATAATAAATAATTGAAAGCACCAAAACAGTGGACGCGGAAACACATTAATAAAAGAAGAAAGTTTGATTGGGACCATTTGGCTAAGTTACCATCCTCATTTGTGTATTTTCAATGTTGCTTCCTGTTCTGTCCACATCTGAAAATATCAATATCATATTTTACCACTTTTATACACATATATTATTTACTAATAACTTAAGTTAGATTAATCTCTGTTCACATAAATTCTTTAGAAGTATTAAATTTATTAATATAAATATTATAAATAACTTTAATTGTATTAATAAATATTATAGGAGAGGACTAAAAACATATTCTGTTTTACTCATATATATCCTAATGAATCGCATCGAGAATAAGTGACATTAGGATTACTTGACTGAAGTGAGAAAAATAATATTTTTATCAGTAAAAAAGATATAGTAATATTCATTTATGAGAAAGATAAATATTGTTTTTAAAATAAAATAAAATTTTATTCAATGCATGGCAATATAACTGTTAATATTTTTATTTAAAATATTTTGATAAAAAAACATAGGCGAACATCATGTCATCTAGAATATACACATTACGTACAAGGGTAAGCAAACAGTAGAGAAATCTTGAAAACATGGTTTGGGGTTGTTATTTGAAGTTTCAAGGGATATGGGCACACATAATGCCACGTATATATAAGTTATAAGTGAAATTATAAAAATGATTATAAAGTAAAAAATGAAAATTACCTGAAATTTGTCCTTGTATTGTTGGAGGTGCAGTGTAGATTAGGTAGCTTCCCATTCTTTGCAAATTTGTGGCAGAAATCAAGGAGAGACGCGTGGGGATTCGATTCATCCAAGAGAAAAAAAACACTCTGATTCTCGCATGTGAAGGCAGTGACTCTCTGCTATAAATATTTTCAACAACTTGTACCATTTTTCTTAGACAACGGAAAATTAATCCATATGGGAATTTATGCTTTGTTTCCACAGAGGAGAGAAACAATGCAGATTTTAAATAGAATAATAAAATTATTTTTTTATTTTTTTCATCTTTAATAAATTATATAATTTTTTAAATTTATTTTTAATAGACCTAGATTTGCTTTTATACGTCATGTTATGAGTGTTTCTGCTTAACTTTTTTCTTAGCAGTTAACTAGTAAGTATTTATGTTTTATTACATGGATATTTTTCTTTTAAGCAACTTTGAACAATTTCTAAAAAATAAAAGAAAAATTACGTAATTATTAATTAATAATTAACTTTTACTATTAGATTAGTTCAATTAAAGGGTAACTTGAAGGGTTGATGCCAGTGCGTTTATATATATGCGATTGATTTGTTTGGTTCAACTTCAAATTTTATAATATGTAAGAAAAATTTAGATTTGTGGTAATCACAAATTACGAGTAAAATTAGTCTTAAGCTCGAGTCTGGACATTAAGTGATCTTTGGCTTGTATAAAAATGTCTAATCCAAAAAAAAATTGAAACTTTAAAAGGAAAATCCATACTTAAATTTTCTACATTTTATCTTCTTTATAAATAATTATTTTAAACTTTAATTTTATATTAATTGAATATTAAATTTAATTGTTTTACAAAATACACACCTTAAACTTTAAGCTGTGTCCATTTTACATATAATTCATTCCATAAATTTGAACAAAATTACTAACAATGGAAACGAATTTTAATCATTTATTTTTACTTATAATCTCAACCATTCATTAACTTTTTTTTGTTCATAATTTATTTTTGAAATATGAAAATATAATAAAATTATAGACTGAAGAAAATATTAATAAAACAATATTTTAATATTTGGGTGGGTGTTGTTTTCTTTTAATATTTAATAAAAATTATAATTTTTGGTGAATGATTAAGATTTAAGATAAGTAAAGTAATTTAATCTCAATTTAATTTATAAAAAATAATATTTATAAAAGGGTAAAGTTTACAAAACAATTGAAACAAAAATCAAAAGTTAAGATGCTTATTTGTAAAATTTGAAGATTAATTAAAATAAAATTAAAGTTAAGAACATTTAATTTAAAAAGATAATGATTAAGAAATAAGTTGGAAAAAACTCAAGTTTAAAAATGACTATGTGGGCGTGGGGGTTATTATCTTTCAACATTAGAAAATAAATGCATAAGCATTTTTAATGGTTAAGATTTAATGTAGATGAAGTATTTTAATATTAATTTAATTTATTAAGAGAGCTATTTATAAAAGAGTAAAGCTTAAGAAATAATTGAAACAAAATTAACTTTGAAATGTTTATTTATAAAACCTGAGGATAAATAAAAATAAAATTAAATTTTAAAAGAGTATTTAACTGAAAAATAAAATAAAATTTAAGAAATAACTAGGACGAGTTTTAAATTTACACATACAGCAAAAAAATTTAAAGTTGATTATTTTTTTCCTATAAAATGTTAAATGCATAAAAGAAAAAAATAATTTAAATAGCTTAAAAAACATAATACTTCATTTTTTTAATTAGAGTTTAACTTCTTCACAATTTATTAAATTCTTGTTAAATTACACTTTATCACAATTTTAATTGATAAAATTAATAACTATACTAATAATTATTCAGTGAACTATATTTTCTTATTTTGCAAAAGATAAATCTTACAATTAAAATTCTGTTAATAATATAATTATAATTAAATTAAGCATTTTATCTTAACTTAAACGTGGTGAGTAAGTCTATTACAAAAGATTTTTTTATATATACAAAGATTTAAACTTGAGATTTTGTTAACTTGAGATTTTGTTGAAAAAATATCAAACTGCTTATTATTTGATTTAATTTTTGTTGGTTAAGGAACTATTTTCTATCACTAATTGGGCTCCTTGAGATATTTCACACTTTATCTTTGTCCTGGTAGAAAAAAAATATTTTTATTCTTACAATTAACAAATTTTTTTATTTAATCTCTAGAAAAAAAAAACACTTCTAACACCACTACAATGATAAAAAATAATAAAAGGTTTCTATGTAAAATATAAAATGTTTTCATTAAAATAAAAAAATAATATTAAATGTATGTATTAAATTTTTAGTATAAATATTAATTTGTGAATTACACTAATCACGGAAGCCTTGAGTTTCTCGTCACATTCGTAACGATAAGTAACGCCAGTGTTTCTTTTATCGCGTGAAAATGTCAACATGCAGAGATCGAAATTCCACAAACCACTGCCATCAAACTGGACTGCATTTCTCAATTCCTCCACAACATTGACAATCACATTTTCTCAGACAAATAATTGATCTGCGTATCTGATGCTGCGGTGAATATGTACTCCTACTAATTATTACAACCAAAGAGAGCTTATTTCACATACTATTTTCAGTTAGTTTTAATTTTAAAAAATACATATCACTGATTATAAAAGAAAATAACTCTATTAAAATAAAGTGTTCTTATTTATAATAATAATAATTATAATATAGATGCTGATTCACGGAAAGAATGAAAACCATACACATAATAGAAAGGTATTGTCAATGGCATTGTGCTTCCAGTTTCTAGCTTTAAAAGATTATGCAAACTTTTTTAGTCAAGAGGCAACCCAAACTTTAGACAGAGTTGCAATGAAAGCCCAAATATGGATAGCTAATCCTAGACATTGGCCCAAGGCAGCATACACAAGTTGGAAAGTGTGGAATCTACCATGATTAAGACCATAATTAAGCAAGTAACATATCTATCAAAATCAATAAATAAGGATAAAAATAGGCTTAGGTCTTCAAACCTACGACTTAATCTTTTTAAAATCTAATCTTTTTTAATCTATTAAAATTAATAAGTTTAATTTAAATTTTTTAAAAAATTTAATTAATTAAATAGATTAAACTTAAATTTTAAAAAAAATTTATTAGACTTATTAAAATAACTTATTTAAAAATTATAAAATTTATAATAATATATTAAATAGTTTTATATAAAAATTAAAATATAATAATATATTAAATAAATTAAATTTTAAATTAAAAACATTAATTTTTTCGTTAAAGTTAAAAAGTATCTTTACTTCATATTATATAAAAGAAAAAATTTTATTTATTAAAGTTTTTTGTATATATTTTTATACGTAATATAATGCTGATTTATTTTGTAAATTTGTTTATATTATATTATATATAACTTTTTTATTATAAAGTAGACTATTAAAAAAACTAACAAGTTAAACTAATCTTTTAAAAAGGTTAAAATTAGACTCAAATTTTAAAATTATTAAATAGATCAAGTTTATTTATATAAAATATAGTCTATTTTAACCTATTTCCATTCTTATCAATGAAACAAAAAATGTATGCTTATGTTTTTTTTTGTTAACATGAATTATTAAAATTTGTTTGATTTTTAAATTTTTATTTTATTTTTTATTTTTAATTTAAAAATTATTACCTTGTTTTATTTTATTTGTTATTTTTAAAGATTTCTATAGTAAAAAGAAATTTTTTTAATGTTTATTATACAAATTTTTTAAAACAAAATACATTTCAAATATTTCTCTTTGATATATCACAAGTGGTAAAATTGAAAATGATAATTAATAAAGTAGAATTCATGTCTTTTTATTCTATTTTTTTCTTCGAGATATATATAATAAATTTAATATTATTCAAAAAGAAATTAAACTGTTCTAAAATAAAAAAATAAATTATTTATCGTCAATTTAAATTTAAAATTTCCGATAGTGGGAATCTATATTCATAATCTTTTGGCAAGCTTTTTCAGGGCAACAATTTCAGGTCGTTCAATTGCATTCGATAAGACACTGTTCCGCTCCCTTCCCAGTAACGAAGCCTATGGACGTTGATGTGTTGGACACAGAAGACGGCAACAACAATGGCGCTTCCACCGCCAAGAAACCGAAGCAGCGTAAGAGGAAGGAGCACAAGGTGGGCGACGATGGACACGTGGCGGCGCGAGAGAAGCTGGCGAAGAGAATCCTGTTGTCGCTGACGAGGCCATCGTACGTTCTAGGATTGGGTCCCAAACCTCTGCGGTGGGAACACCGTACGAGGTTGCGGTACCTGCTGCGTAGGCTCGTTAACCAGCATGATTGGGTTTCAGCCAGTGGTGTTGTCAGTGCCTACTTGAAGGGAACGCTTAACGACACCTCTCCCTTTGGAAATCGTCTGAAGTATTGGGTTTTACTTGAGCTTCTTAAGCATGTGCAAAACCATTCTATTAACACAACAAGGATTAAGAACCTCTATGATATTTGGTCCAAAAAAATTGGATCAATGAAGACTTGGCCAATAGAGGTATATAACTGTTTTCTTCATTTTAAATGCTTACAAGATTTCTTTATTCACAGGTTCTAACTATTTCTTACTTTTCAAGTCCCTAGAGGTTACTCATTTTTTTCTCATTAGAATTGAATGTTTAAGGTTTAGCCTCAGACATATTGTTATGAATGAACCCCCTTCCCCCAATAAAAAAAGCGACAGAAAAATTATAACTTCACTACAAGATTTGAGTTTTCTAAAGCATATGCACGGTGCAGTTCTACAATTATGGAATGTTATTTTCCTATTCGTAGGGTTGATGTATTATTCACTACCCTCCAGTTTCACAAATTATTAGTATTATCATATTGTTGTAAGCCATAGTAGGTGAAGTGATAGATAGATAGAGAGAGAGAGACATGTTTTGTTTTTATTTCTTGATTTCAAATGTTTATATAGGAAATGGTAAAAAGAATATTTGAAAATAGGAAACAAATTCAAAACTTGCTGACTTTTTTGTGATTATTGGTGGAAAAAGGAAATGAAAACAGAAAACATTTTCTCAAACCACATAGAGCCTTAAGTTTCTAGATCTGATTTAGTAATTTTAAATTTTCTTATTAATTTATTGTATGTGCAAGTTAAGTGAGAGCGATCAGGGTTGTGATTATATGCTTGTTCCCATTTTTGTCATGTTGCAACTTGCTGATGAGCTGTTCTACTTTATCCAGTGTGAACAATCTCGTGACTTTCACTCTAGCTGATAATTAAATTATATTTTTCAATTGAGACAATAGTTATGAAGTTATGCTGCTGGCTATATTGTTAAGGCTTCAGTTCTTAACGAAGAATTTTACTTGTGGAGCAGAGCAGATATGCGGTTCATTTGGAGTTCATGTTGTTCTGTCTTATGCAAGGCAATGGTGGAGATGCATACCAGCTTGCTCTATGGTATGTAATTTTAATTTTTGATGTGTAGTCCTTTGCCTCCATAGAGTAATATGAGTTGCATCATAATGCGAAGGGACATGTTGTTTCTTAACTAGTAATTACTATATAATACGGTGAACTGGTTGTATGCTGTTATAATTATTATTATAATCTTATAGGTGTTCGATTTTATTTTGTAAATCTTATTGCTCGTAAATGGTTGATACTTGATAGGGTATTAATTATTATTGTTGTTAGTACTCTATTCTCCAAACATCTAGAATAATATCTTAGTTCTTAGTATGGAGTATGCTACTTGCTATGAAATGCAGACTAATTATACAATATGATACTTCCATTTAAAGTAGAGAAGTTTTTATCCCATAAAAATAAGAGATGCATACACATAAAGTCAATATTCCAAGTGATTGAGTAGCACTTCCCTGGTGCTAATGAGGATGAAATTGAGATAGGTCACACAGCCTGAATTGGAGAGCGATTAGCTCAGTAAACCATCTTAAAAATATTGGATATTGTCTGCTGCTCAGTACTCTGACAACATAATTCTAGTTAAATTTCATTATCATCTATCATCACTAGCAGCATATATTTATCATGGAACAATCCCATAGTTATAGTTTAGTGTTTAGCTACAATCTCTTAAATAAATGCAACTTGACTCAATCCATTGATAATGTTTTTCCTTCTTTAATGATGATTTATACTTCAAAAATACATCTTTGAGAAAGTGCTATAAGTGGGTTGGTTACCTGGTTCCAATTATTTTTCTTCCTCATATTGCCTCCTCTTTCCTTTTCTAAATATTTTGTCTTTTCTTTTCTCCTTTAGTCTTGAGCAAGAAAAGGTTGATATTGATCCTGTGTCAAAGATGATGATGGGTTTGACTTTTTATGAGTTGTGGTATTCTTCAATTCCCATAGAATTCCAGTGGAGAAATTCAGACCAGTTTGATTTGCTAGAGAATTCACATACAGAGGGAACCTCAAATAGCAATGATACTGGACAGTCAGAGTGGCATAATACAGTTGAATCCCACATGGCTGACTCCCAATTACGGCAGGATTCAGATGCCTCTGTCATGAATGATAAACAGATATCTATGGATATTGACTTCAATGAAGAGATGGGGGTTTTTATGGATGTTGATGTTAACCATAAAATAGAAAAACCACATCAAAACTTTCAGCCGGAAGGATTTTACTTGAATTCTGAGGATAAAGGAATCGAAGACCCTTTTTCTGATGGTGGAGGTCTTACACAGGATACCTTGAATGCTCTTGGTAAGTTATTTATCTGCTGAGTAATCATCAATAGGAGAAAAATCTATTTGTTGTGGGTGCACACCTGTATGAGAATATGCATGTGCACATATAATTGATTATGGACTTTCCAACCTTAATTTTTTTTCCTCAGAATGAATATTGATTTTGTCTTTCTCACTACCCTGACGAGGCTAGATTGTAATTTTTCTCTTGCCCATGTTTACTTTTTTGAAGTATAGCAACCTATGATAAGTTTCTCAGTCTAAATAAATATTACTTAGCATTTCTAGGTTTAGATAGCAATTACTTTTGGTTCACCTGTAACTTTAACATTGATCTGCTGATGCATTTACTTAGGGGGACTTGATTTGTGGTTGTTGCCCTTGCGTTTTTCTGATGAGAACAGTTTTGAGGAATTCATGTACTTGCAAAGAAATCAGCCTAATGACTACTATAAAAATGCAGTAAAATATCTACACCTAGCTCTCAACTCAACACCCTCTGCTTCAGCAGCATTACTTCCTTTGATACAGGTATGAACAAACATTGCAAATAATTTGGTAACCACTGAACTACAGTTTGTATTTTCATTAAGGAGTTTTTTGAGAAACAAAAAATCAGGTTCAGAACTTTAGGAGTAATAAATTTTTTTAACTTTGACCTGCTGTTAGAGTAAAACTTTTCTATATCTCAAATCACATGTTTCTACATCACCAGTAAAGAAAATTAAACAAATTTTTATTTATGTAAATTTGAAATCATTTTAAAATAATTAACTTTCTCTAGTTTTAGCTTTGAGCTAGTTTAGTATCAATTATTGTTCAGTGAATCATACTTTAAATTTCAAACATTTTTGAAAGGGGAAAGGGATAACTAAGTAAAGTTTTAATTCAAATTAAAACTTGTTAGATGAAAACCAACATTATGTTGGATTTGTTTGAACTTAAAATTGGATTAGAAGAATTCAAGAACTGATCTTTCACATTTTGAGGGATTACCACAAAACACCTGCACCTAATTAACTGACTTTTGGTGTTTGGCAAACATTCTTCAGGAGTTTCCCAAAAACAAGCAATCCCTATTATGTTACTTTAGGTCTGTGCAACCCATTTATTATCATTGCATAATTCCTGAAAAATATTACGGACTGGTACTTCAGTAAACCAAGATGTTATTGTTGAGAACCAGTCCCTGCCACCTTTTCTTGCATTGCAATATGTTGGTTAGAAATTGCCTCTTGTTGCCCTTCCACCATCCTTCTGCGGTATAGCAATTTCAGTATGCTCATTCTTCAAGTACCTCATCTTATCAAAACTAGTGAAACCATAAGACCACTTCAACGAATTAATGCAATGAAATTGAAAGTAATTTCTTTGTGTTTAATACTAAGAATGATAATTTATGTGAGTGAACTGAGTTTTGAATTCATTTTGAAGATTTAAGATGGTATCCCTTGCTTCTGCTGCTTTTAGGAAAATGATTTGCTAATTGCTAATGCTTGTATTTCAAATGATTTTTTTTATCAATATCATGTATGTCAATGCTGATATACATATATTTTGTCCTATATGCCATTGCCAACTTTTTATCATGTATGTCAATGCTGATATACATATATTTTGTCCTATATGCCATTGCCAACTTTTTATCATGTATGTCAATGCTGATACCTTTGTCCTATACTCCTTTTTTTAGTAATAATCTTTTTTCAAAGTGATGATAATTATATATTTATATTGATAAATGATTTTAGGAGTCAAAAAATTGTTTCACTATGATACTGTTAAACATATGAAACTACTACTAGCCTCCACCTAACTACTTAAGTTTTTGGGATAATTGGTTATTGACATTGTATCAAAGCCTTTATAATCATATGGTTAGGAGTTCAATCCTTGCAATCCCCATTCTTCAAAGTTAAAAATAAGTTTCAATGCTAACTCTCAGTCTGTGTGTGTGTGGACTGATGTTAGATTTTAACAAAACTAAGTCATCAAATTCATCCCTAACATTTATCACTGGCTTAAAGTTTGTCCCTATCGTAATGAAAATTAATTATAAGTTCCCAATGTACAAAGATGACATTCAAGTTGATCCTTGATGCCAACTCCCCATTGTTTTCTTTAACAGCAAGCACGTGTGCATGTTAATGTCTATGTGACCTTTTTAATGCGTCTGAGCTGATTAGATCAAACCTTTGCCCCTAAATTCCTTCATTTTCATCCCCAACTCAAATAGAAAAAAAAATAAAAAAATAAACCTCTCATATAGGTCCCTTGAGTGAAGAAGTGAGTCAGAAATCAAATGTAATTCTTGTCCCTGATTGACGTATCAACAGTGTTTTCACTCTGTTTCTAAATTCAACATTTTGTTAGGGCTTAAATCAATTATACAAATCAATCAAACCCTCACTGTTGTCTTGTTCTTTTTGGGAAAATCAATCAAAGATTAGTTGTAGCATGAAGTTTTATTGTTATCAAGCCTAATGTTGTCGAGTTGTCATCCTTTTTTATGAAACCTAGTGTCCATTGTGAACCCAAATCACAAGAACTCAGTGTTGTCAACTCATCATGAAGGAACAAGAATGTGTGTGCAGTGTTCCATGATTTGCATATGATTTGGCATGTGGGATGAGAGTCATGAGACTTTTTGAAGTACATGGAACAGACCCATACTCATTTAGTTCACTATTTCAGGGTGAAATTTGCTTATAATTGGATCATTAGACATTATCTTCTAATGTACAAGTAGTAAAATTAGCAACATATAAAGCAAAATAGTTGTGCTTGCATTTATTTAATAGACCTAGGCATATAATCTGAGCACAACCTTCACACGCAGTACATCAATTTGGTCTATTATTATCATATAAAGGCATGTAGGTCTCTGTTTGTGTCTATTCAATATTCATAGCTTGTTGTAGGTTTTTCTCTTATGTCTTAATATTATCAAATTTTTTAAAAATATTTTTATTTTAGGTAAACTTTTATGAGTTCATGAGTTGAGTCTATTCTTAGACTAACCTTGTATATACAAGGGATAGGGGACATTATCAATTGGCATTAAGGACCAAACTTTGAAAATGATGTCTCCAATAATATTTTATCAAAATTAAATTTTATCATTTCAACTATAAATTTAAAGTTCTCGAAAAATTAATCAAGTTTATAAAATGTATTCAATTTAAAAATTAATTATAAACACCCTCGTTTGTTTTAACATATGACATACCACATGTCATTTGAAAAAACAAAAAATATTTACAATTTGATTACATATTTACAAATGTATAAATTTTTTAAAATTTTATATATTTGATCATTAAAATAATATTACAAGATTTAATGGATGCATTGATTATATTTTCATTTGGCCAAAATGTTATTAAGGTGTCTTTTCATAAAGTTTTCCACCTTATGTTAATTGATCCTATCCTATATGTAAAGTCTCAACCCGACATTTTTAGCTTTTGGGATACTTGGTCCTTTGCACATGCTGTTAGAAATTGCCGCTTGCTCCTTCCATATGCATATTTACACATATAATATAGAAATATCAGTAGCTTGGGTTATTTGAACCAATTTTCCTTCTTGCACAAAACTACTTGCATCTGCTGTAAAAATTGAATTGTGCAATTGCTTGATACATAGAATAATGTCTGAGATATTGACAATGGCTTCACTTTTATATTTTGTTGCAGCTGTTGCTGATTGGAGGTCAAGTCGATGAGGCTCTAGATAGGCTTGAGAAGCAATGCAATAATTCAGCCTCTGTACTCCCAATTAGGTATATATCCCTTATTATTGTTAATGAACAACGATATAGTCATTCAAACAGCAATTTCTGAGATCAGAAGTTTTAGTATTTTACTCATTGCCTTTTTTTTAAAATGTTTATAAAGTTGCTGATGGACATGCCTGCAGAGTTAGGGCTGCTTTGTTGGAGCGTTTTGATCGAAACAACTCTCCCTTGCTTCTTAGCTGTTTTGAGGATATATTGAAGAAGGATCCAACAAGTAGTGATGCCATAGCAAAACTTATCAAGATGCACCAAAATGGTACTTTATTATGAATCGTGTCTTATATAAGATTTGAATAGTTTATATCTGTTAATCTCTCAATTTGAGACCAATAGTATTAGCTTGGAAAGGGGTGGAGAAAAAAGTGTGTGATGAAAAAGAGGGGAAAAGGAAAAAACAGAGAAAGAAAAATATGTGATCTTGAAAAAGTTGGAGACTGAAGTTCATTTGAAATTACTGAAGAACTCCCAGCTTCAAATCTTGTCCCAAGCTGTTATATTTTGAATTAGCCTCTTCAAATATACAGAAGTTATCTTTTTGATTGGATGTCACAGCTTACTCCTCTCACTACTGATTCAGAAAAATTTGCAACAAAGAGATTTTATTACTCTGCTACAGACAATGCAATACCTTTACGCTTAATGGTACACTATGGACATGTCATTGATTGGTTTCTTCTGATACTTTGCAGGTGACTATAGTCTTGAATCTCTGCTGGAAATGATTGCTTTACATTTAGATGCTTCAGATGCAGATAACAATACATGGAAGGTCTTCTCTTTATGTTTCTTTAAACTGTCTCACTACGAAGAAGACTGCATCTCTGCATGCCCTATTCAAAAAGAAGATGGACAAAGAAGTCAACACTGTTCCATTACCAAAACCCCTAAAATATTTACGGATGGTATATCAGGAAAATCTTGGAGGCTTCGCTGTAGGTGGTGGCTAACAAGACATTTCAGCAATAGCAAGCTTGAATCAGAGATTGAAGCTGGTAAATATATTTTTAATGTTTATTTTTTATCTAATATAAATAATTTATATTAGAGTGAAAATGTATTTTTGTTCCTCCAAAATATATGGCATTTTGATTTTGGTTTCTACAATTTTTTGTTTGTCTTTACATTTTTAAAATTATTAATTTTGGACCATCTCACTGAGGCGGCTCAATGAGTATCAACATCTAAGTCAGCCACATCACTATTTAATAGTGGTTAGGGACCAAAACCAACAATTTTTGAAAATATAGGGATTAAAAAATAATAACTTTGTAAGAATAAAAATCAAAATGCAATGGTTTTTGAGGGATAAAAAAAATACATTTAAGCTTTTATATTATCATCGAATCATGTGTTGTCATTAGAAGAGTTTGATTACGATGACATGACACATCTCTAGGAGGCAAACTCTTTAAATGATTTGGCAACATATAATTAGATGATGATGTGAAAATGTTTTACAATGACTCTATATCAATCAACTTCACGTCTATATTGTAACATACATATCCATGCACTATTATTGTTTTATTTTAGCCATGTTAATTTGCTGCTCCAAATTTTATTTGGAGCAGGTGATTTGCAGTTACTCGCGTACAAAGCAGCATGTGCATCGTATATGTATGGGCAGGAGTTCAGCTATGTCGCGAAGGCTTATTCTCATTTAGAAAAAGAAAATGATAAGGAGTTACTGTTGTTCTTGGATGAGCATAGGGGAAATTCATATGGAATTTATCAAAAATTTCAAAAGAAATTTACATATATAACATAATAAATGTGATATGTTTATTGCATAGTGAGTAGTCGATAATCCTTTCTTGCTTGCTTGCTTTCTTTATCTTAGATTTGATGATGGCTTTTATACTTTCAACCATAATTACTGTCTGCAATTTGCAGGAATTGATATACTCATTGCTTGGTCAATTATCAACTTAACTTTATAAGAGGAAGAAATTTAACATAAAATCAAAAAGAAAAAAAAAAGTGAATGAAATGAAAATATAATGACAAAACACACTAAAGTTTTTGTCCTCACAAAATAAAATATAATTTGAAATATTTAAAAAGTTGAAAAATAATATAAGAAAGATAATAACGCTTGAATTGAAATCAGGTTAATTTCTGAGTAGTCTTAATCTTAAATCTTTGTGCGACCCTAATATTAAGTTAAATAGTGTCGTGAAGAGTTTATGATTACACGGTAAATTTTCTAACTTCAATGATACATCTGAGAATGTTGAGAGATGGCTGAAGGAGTGGAGAGACTTGACATATTCAAGTATTGAAGCAATGTTTGCCAGTTACAAAGCAGACGTGTGTCACTTGCATTCACATGAATGTTGAGATGGGTACACGATATTCTCATGCTAGTTTCAGATTATGAAAAAAGATTTCCACTTAAAATTTATTCTCGAGCAAAACTTTTGCACTTTTATGCAAATTTACACTCTGAAAGAGATACATTTGGGGTTTAATTCATTCTTATAGGAATAATTAAAGTATTACAAAATGGACAATATTTCAAATTGCACGTTATATCGCAAATAAGGTTGCAGTTAGTGTTGTGGTGTTAATTTATTTTATATTTACACATAATATAATCCATTTAACTCATCTTCAAAGTGTATGTTTGGTTTTGCTTATCATCGACCATGAATCTATGTTTATTTTAAACGATATTAGTTATAATTTTTATGTTGTCTCCATGTTTATAAGTTTTTCATCGTGAATCTAAACACATATTTAACTAACAAATGAGAAAGAAAGAAAAACAATTTCTGAAGGACTTAAATGTTTGTTGAAGTATGATGTAGTCTATAGCGATTCAATGTAGTAGTAGAATTTTATTTTTTTTAGTAATATTTTTGTAACATAATCAAATATTCTTGTAAATAAATTTATAAACAACATTAATGATAAGCATGATTATGATATGTTTAGGAGAATATCATTTCTCATAATCTTTTATTTCAAGAATGAAATATTATTTCTGCAAACAAAGCAATCTTAAGTGTTAACCAAATATAGAAGCATTCAAATATTAAATTGAAGATAAAATATCTCAGGAGCTGCATTGACAAATATCTAATTATTTCAAGCAAAAATTAGTTTAATTCTTTATTAAATTGTGTAATTTAATTTTATCACATTCTATATATTTAGTTGCCTTTTATTTAAAATAAAAAATATATTTAAAGATGTCATGTTTTTCAAAAAAATTAAAATATATCATAATCATACTTAACTTATAAATCGTACTAGGCTAAGCTTGGACAACTTGCAATTGAGTATGCCCGTGTTAAGGTCGAGTACAAACATGCTCAAACACAGGTCACATCAACGTAGAGTGACTTGTAATTTATACGCATGAATGACTTATATTTTATTGTGTTGGCAAAAAACGACATATTTTGAAATTAAAAAAAAGAAATATATTTAAATTTTTTATTTTATATATTAAAAAGACCTATTTAGTCTAACGAAAACTTTCAACAATTTTATCTTCTTTCATTTACTAACAGTGAATCAGTTTTTATTAGTGGTTAGTTAAACTCATTCTTATAACATGGACTTTGGACCCTTCTTGCACCATAATAATAACAACTAGCAAGTAATAACTCATTCTTAAAATAGGTATTACGTTTGGAATATAGGTTGAACATTTCTATATAATGAGGTGGAATATTTGTTGACCAAATTTTACAAACTATTTTTTGTTTTTGTTTTGTCAAACAGCATGATGCTAAATAATAAGAATATTATGACAGTGAACAAATAAAGAAATAGAGGAATAACAAGCACACACACTCAAAATTAATTGGACTTAGCAATCATAAAATACCAAATACAAAGTCAAATAAAAAACAAATATTAATGAAATCACACAATAGATAGTCAGACCAAGAAACACCAAATCACAACTTGAATCATCATCACATAACACAAAGGTAATTGCAAATAGTCGAACACAGCAAGGGTCTTGCAATGTGCATGGTGAAACTCCAACAACAAGGGAGTAACTCCATTTATTCAATTGCTAAGAATGTAACGAAAAAGAAAATAAATGTAATAACTAGTAAAAAGAGAATGAAGGTGAGATAAAAGAAAAAAAGAAGAAAAGAAGAGTAAATAAAAGAAGGATAATGACAAATAAAACAGCTCTCACATTGAAGAGAAAAAATTTAATGAAGAAACCATGCAGTAGGAAAAAAAAATCTCTAAGAAAAGAAAAGAGATGTTTCCATGGGAAAACCTCCCATGAAACAGCGTGTGGAGCCTTGGAGTTTATTTGGAAATTAAATTTTTGAGAAAAAAAAAGAGAGAATGGGAACACTCATATAATATAATTCTTTGATTGAAAGATTTTGAGAGGAAAAGATTTATAAACCTTTCAAATTATGTTTTTAAATTCTTATTAACATATTTTATATGAACTTTTTTTTCTTCATTTCTTCTTCTTTTCTCCTTTATTATTCAAACACTTTTCCTCTATCGTTTTCCAAAATAGAAACAAGGTAAAATTGAAAAGTAAATTGTGAAACCATTTAAGTCACATTTTATAACGAACACCTTGACAAGGCTGTTTTCTAATATTATTTTTAGAATAAGGTTTAAAATAATACCATTTTCTCTTATTAAAATAAGGCTTTTAAAAAATTAATTTTAAAGTATTCAGTAAAAATATTTTATATTATCAACTAATTAAAATATACAATAGTCAACAAATATAATTTTTAAATTAACTGTTATAAAAATCAATAATTATCACTGATATCATAATTTATCATCTATAATTAAATGATAATGTATATTTCAATTAAATATTTTAAACAATAGGCTATATCTCCGGCTGCTAAGTAGAAGAAGATCCAGCAAAAAATGCCTTGATGTCATGTGAGCACGTTTCGGCGAAGACTTTTATTGACACAATCATCAATTAAGCCACGCTCAGCAGAGGCTTTTAGATGTTGAATTGGCAACCTGAGTCAATGAAGGCGGGTTTGCACATTTTATAAATGTGACAATTATCCATTTCATAAGGCACATTTTATAAACGTGACAATTATCCATTTCCTACGGCACATTTTACAAACGTGACAATAATCTATTTCCCAATTCCCACGTGCCGTGGGTAACTCAACTATGATTGTTCAATGGACGAGGCAGGGAAATGCAACCATGTAAAGCACAAGGATATGGTCATAACATCTTCAACAATACAAACCAAAATAATGAATGAAAAACAGTATTGATATAATTACCTGAAAACAGAACAAAGTCTGTACAACTTGATAGATACAAGTTCTGGTGCCAACAATAAACGAGTTGGGCAGTGTAACTGTCTATATATGTGCAAGTACATATACAAAATACATAACAAAATATGAATTTTGTTCAAAAATAAATTAGCATAGGAAGAGAAAGATGTTAAGTTCATTGATTTCTATACATCCCTCCTTCCAGGAGTTAAAGCTTCTGATTTGCATATGGGGCAGACATTTTTGACAAGCAACCATTTCTTTAAGCACTCTGCATGATATTCATGCTCACATCGAAGAACTCCAATCTTCTCTTGGTTCTTAAATTCATCCTGTGGAATTGTATAGAAAAAGTCCAATTCAATAGCACATCAAAGGCAGAACTAGAGCAGAAAGTTAGGGTGTGAAATATCAATGTCAAAATAACTGAAATATTGAATGAAATATGTTGCTAAAAGTTCATACCTGACATATTATACAAGAATCAGTTTCTTGATCATCACTAGCTGCCTCCTCCAGATTAATAGCAGAAGCACACAGTAAATAAGTTTTTGTCTTCAACTGAGTAGTAATTGTTTCCTCTGATAAGCCAGTGCTTACATTGCCAATCCGCTCACCCAGTGCAAGAAGATCCTGTACCAAATTTCAAGAGTGAATAACTTACGATTGCATTGAAATGAATACAATATCAATCTTTGTGTACTTGCCTCATAAGACATGTCCTCTATGTCCAAGCGCATATCTCTGTGATGGTCAACCAAATTTCCCACTTCATCAATTAAAGCAACATCCTGCACAAGTTTTAATTGATAAGAAAATCATGTATTCGTAATGCAAATAATGATTAACCTTTTCAACATAAGGACAACATTGGGAGTAAAATAGTTCTTAAGAGAGCAAGAAATAATACATCAACTTGGAGGAAGCCCACCGGGGGAAGGCCACGATGTCCAAGAGTTGTCTCAGGCACAACTCCTCTATGAGGTCTGTAAATCCGGAGGCCAGCTGATGGTGCAGTACCAACATGCCTAGGACCCATCTCAAAACCAGTCTGTATCGGGATGGCAACACTGCGTGAAGGATGTGTTGGAACTCTAAATGAAGCTGCAGTTACCGGAGGGTGAAAGTTGATATTGTGATTGTGACCTCTTACTCCTTGCATAGGCAATGCTGGATGATGGTAATTATGGTGCTGTTGGTTGACAGGAAGAGGATGAGGAAATCTGAGCCCATTTCGGCTGCCAGCTGGATCATGATATCTCTGCAAGCCCATATTTGCACTCTCTAATGAACTTCCATTAACATTGTGTGCTGGAAAATAATAGGGAGAATCAGTCAGACAGACTAAACTCATAACCAACAGTCAGACAATACTTCTCATAAATTTATTGCCTGATTGAAAATATGACATCCAAGAAGCTATAGTTATCACTATTCATGCAGAAGCATGAAAAGAGCTTCATATATAATATAAAAGATGATCCACTTACAAAGCATCCAAGTAACTACAATAAATTGGTAAAAGGAGAACCGCAAAACAGGCAATGAGGGAAAAAAATGCATCTTTACCTGGTATATAAGGCATGGGAAGGGACGGATTCCAGGCTGTAGTATGGGCATCGTTATTATTACTATTCAATTGTAGGTCCAACCAGGGAGGGGCAGCTGGCTGAAAGTGCTGCCCTAAATAGTTTCCATGAATCAAATGATTATGGTCATGCACCATAATAGACTCACCTGACCTGCTCCATGCACTACCATGTGCTCCAACTTCCACAAGTGATGGGGTGCGGAATGAAAATGATGCAGCATCCATCATAGCAACGCCATCAGTGTGTCTAGCATTAGGGGGAGTAATAGAAGAACTAGCTGAAGCATTAAAATACTGGTAACTTCCTCTAATCCCTTCAGCATTTTTCCTTTTGTATGGACCTCTAACGTCATCCATGAAACCAGAACTTCTTCCAAAATTATCTGAAGAAACTCCAGAGACTGCAAATGTGCTTGAACCTGGCAAATCAGAGGCTCTGTGATTTAGAGGCAGAGGGAAAACACCAGTACTAGAAGAAGGATTCATGCCAGAATAATATAAGTTTGCTGCAGCTGGTACACCCATATCAAGATTATGTGGAGGCTGAATGCCATTGTATTGTGTAACTCCATACACCCTAACATTGTCATAAGCATCCGGTAAATAGTGAGAATCAACATTTGTGTTTCCTGAAGCGGTCACCATTGTGCGGATATTGGACTGCGAGATGCTTGAGGAGCCTCTCATAAGGATGCAGGGTTCAGAATGAAAATAGCCTTGCCTCTGTTGATCCATTTCAGAATCCGTCATTTGATCCATAATGTACAGATTTCTTGATGCAGAATATCAATCCTAATATTCCAATCCAAGCAGGGTAAATAAAATCAGTCAGACACAAAAAGGGAAAAGGAGAGTAAACCAAACAGATAAAATAACAAAATAGCAAATATTCCGCACAAAACCAAACTTCCGGTCAAAATTTTCAAATTCCAATATTCCATATCAACATTAGTCAGCAACAAACCATTCCCTTCAACAAATAAGTGAAATTACTAATGATACATTCAATGGACATGTAAGATGTTGCATCATCTTACAAGAGATAGCAAACTGGTGTATAAACATTCCAAGTCCAAACAAAACACCCTGAGTTAGAAACTTATCACCCCAAATAAGACTCCTTCAGGCATATTAAAAAAGACCCTATAATAATTAAAATCTGTGATTCAGAGCAATTATGAGAATCATCACATAAATACATAAACAAATAAAAATTCAACAGACCGAAAAAATTAAAAAGTCCTTTTTTCCCTTCTTTTACCACTTTCAAGGTTTGCAACCAAACAAGAAAGTACTTAACCCATATCATAATCCCAAATTAATCACCCACCAAACAAAACTAAAAGAACAGATAACAAACCGTACCTTATTATCATCAAAACAAGAGCTTACGGCTTCTAAGTTTCAGAGATCAATATAACTTACGAAGAGCACCCCCAAAATCAACTCTGTTGAAAATTCACAAAAAGAAAAAGATTTATTTTAAATTTTTTCAAAAAAGCAAAATTATTAATGGAAAATGGCAGAAATTAAAATCAGGTGAATGTGGTCACAACCCATGAATGCAAGTTATTCCCTTACATAAGCAAACAGAAATGACAAGATTTTAACCCTAGATATCAGGAAAAGGCACAGAACTTGGGACATAAATAGTGAAAATTTGATTTTTAAAAAATCAATTACCGGAGAAAGAAGCCGAGGGAAGCGATGAATGATTACAATCAGTGATCGAAGGATCGGAGAAGGGAAGGAACAAGGAGGAGAGAGAAAGGGCGCGAGGGATGAAGAGAGAGGAAGAAAATGAATATGAAGGAGAGGATAGTGCCTTTCATTGGAGAGAAAATTTCATCCGTTTTTTTTTTTATTAATTACAAAATAATTTAATGGTATTTTTGTTTTCTTTCAATCTTTTTTATGTCTTTTTTTATTAGTAGTAGTTTCATGTCTTTTTTTATCATTGGTAGTTATAAGCAAAAAAATTAAAATGTAATAAGTTATCTTGTTGATATAATACTTTTTGTAATATTAATTTTTTACATCTCCTTATTATATTATTATCTTATTTTATACTTATCTTTTTTCTCTTACTTCTTTTTATCGTAAAAAAATATACAAATATTAATTTTAAAATCTCATAAATAAGAAATTTAGAAAGAGCATATTTTTTCGGTTTCTTTCCTGGGGTTCTCGAATTCTTCAATCAATTAGACAAAAATTATTTGACATGCAAGGCAAGTCACAAGGATGACAACTTATTAACGCAGACATTATTTTATTAAACTCAAATTTCTTCTAACAAGAGGAAGCTTATTTGCATCTGTTCAAATTTACTGTTTTTTTTTTCCTTTATGAATATGGGATAAATTTTCAGAAAAAAAAATAATTTAAATGCAACTTGGTGACAGTAGACCTACAATCAAATAGGGCAAAGTGGGTGGTTACCTAAGAAAGCTGGTTTTTCGTTTTTAATGTGATTATGAAAGCTTAATAAATATGGAAATTTGAAAAATCGACTAATTTGTTGGGTTTATGATGCCGAAGTGTAGCTAAAAAATGATAGAATTTATGGCATCCAATAATGTATAGATAATTAAGGTACGTAACAATTCATCAACTAATTCTTGCAAATTTGACTTACTATTGTGGGTTTTAATAGGTTTGTTTTTGTTAAACTATAAATAAAAACTCACAACAAACGCCACCACAGAAATTATAAAAAAAATGCTAGTTGCTATCTCATGTAACATGTATGATTAAAAAAAATGGCATAAAATTGAAGTGTTGAATTGATACTACTATTTGTTTGCCTGAGTTTGAAAATCATTTAAATAATCTCGAGGTTGTAAGAAATTGCCTCTGATGAGATTAGGTATTTTAGGTTCCCAATCCAATCATGCAGTGTGGCATGCGGTGATTAACACACACCCACTTCCAATATTATATAAATTAGTTTTGGTCCTAAAGCAAAAGGTTAGCAACACCCAAAAACAAGCTTTAGAATAAACGATACCCAAAAAAACCAACTTTTATATTGGCAAGTGTTTATTTGTTATTTTTTCCATTAATTTTGATGCTAGATTTTGTCATTGTAAATATACAATATTTAATATTTTGCATCTTTTATATATATATATATATATATATATATATAGAGAGAGAGAGAGAGAGAGAGAATTGTGAAATTTGGGAACAGGTGCGATAAACAAATAGTGGCCACTAAAAGGAGGTGTCCTTAATGGTTAGAATACATCATCAAAACAAAATGAAAACATGGAAGGGAAAGGTGAAAAGTAGAGAATAAGTGCCAAAGTATATTCGTTCTTTATTTTTATTATTATTATTTTCTTTTTCTCCCCATATGACACGGCATTTTGAAGTGGGGCCTCTCTCCCCCAGCCGCAAACAAATGATTAACGTGGCTTTTCTCTCTAAATCCCCCTTTTTTTTTTCATGTCCTTAGGCTTTAGCTACCGCATCCATCGCATGTGCGTCCAAGGACACACCATTCTCAATACCAGAAACCTTTTTTCATTGCTTAAAAATCAAAATTATTTGTAGTTTGACTGCATTTGAAATGGAATGAATTTTCATGTTATTCATTGTTTGATATATGAACATGGATCAAATGAGATACGTTGATCCTAATCCTAATCCTAATCAAAATACAATCGGGGTATATCAATATTAAAATAAAAAGGTCAGAATGTTACTTATTGTTATAAAAAGTACAAGAAACTTTATTTTCACATTTCTCATTAGCATGAATAGATGGTCAATCATCAGAAAGGCCACAAGGACAATCCTGAATCCAAATTTGGCACTCTTGTTCGCTGCATTCTTAACTTTGGATTGCAAGACTCTGCATATTGCTTCTCTCTTAAATGATCCACTTTGTTGGTTTGCAATTTGCTTAAGTAATTACTTTCTGAATATATTCCCATATTCTAAAGAACAAAAAAAAATGTCTTCCATTTGTATATTTAATAATGCTTGCTAAATGATGCAAAATTAAGAGGAACAAGGGACGTAGAGATAGTGCTTCAAGAAAGTATATTCCTTGCATACTCTCAAAGAGATATCATACCTTGAATTCCAATTGAAACAAAGCAATATAACGAAACAACTGTGACTGTCACTTCCTTAATATCCCTGCCCTCATAAGAATTCTTAGCCCTCCATATCATTAAAGTAATTGCAAATTACCCAAACATAAACTTTTATTAAACCATTTTCTTGTCCTTTTAATTGAGAGGAAGAGAGAGATCGAGTTCAATGCTCTAAAGATGAAGAATTGCATGTGACCAAATAATATATATTCAATAATGGACATCGCCCACTTCCAGTGTCAACATAGAAATAATTTTTTATTTTAGTAATATACGTTGATTATTAATGTTGAGGTTCTTTAATGTTAATTTTTATTATGCATGTTAGTAAGATAAAATTTTAATAAAAAATAACACCATATGATATAAGTTTTGTTTTTCCAAATATAACCTGGCAAGATAGCTCCTTATTGATATCATATATGAAAGAACTAATTTCTTATTAGGCCTTCTGTTAAAAGAATTAATGTGTTATTTTTCACTTTATTTTCACTCAATAATATGAATATTTTTATTTTTCAATTTAGATCCCTTTTATTTAATCAATCTTTTTTTGGTCCATTTTATAAAAAAATTATATATTAAAAGAAAAAGAATATACAGGCGATATTCAGTTGTTGACTAAATTATTATGGCACAACTTGTCCTGCTATGGGCCAGCAAATTGGTGCAAACAGAAAACACCAAATTATAGGCCACAGGACCAGAAAGAGAATACTAGAAGCCAAATTTTAGTTGTCAACTTAAAATACAAGTGACATGAAGACATAATTTGACAATAGATGGGACCTATTTATCGAAATTAATTGATCCTAATTCCTAACTCAGTAAATGACTAAGATTTTAAGAGTAAGTAGGCACCTCGTAATTCTTAGAAATATCCCTCGTTCATATTTTAATTGCTGAGATTATTACTGTGGATGCTTAAATTTGTCAATACATAAGATCCAATTCATTTGGACTTTATCATCGCACATTTTCATCGATGTTCTGATATTTTTTTACAAATGACAACTTCATCAAGTATTATAAATGATTATATTGTTAGGCATTCTAAATGAAAAATCCATCAATATTTGTATAAAGATGAAATTTGCTTTGGATACACACTCTATCATATTCTATATTAATCGTAACAATTTTATTTTTTTTAATATAGGCATCAAAGTATTTCTTGTAAGAACATTTACTATTAAAGTTAACACAACTAAAACTCACTCTCAACCACCATATAAGACACTTTGTACTAAATAAATTTCATCTAGTATACATTATTAGCATTATAAGTGAAAATTATTAAAACTATTTTCATAACTAAACTATGACAGAGAATATTTCTTATTAATCAGAAATACTTATACAACAAGGATTCACCTTAATATAGATGTGAAGAGGTGTCCAAAAAGCTTCATGATTCATCTTAACTAAGTTTTACTTTGACAAAATCTTAGGGCTCATATCAGCCAAATTTCAAAGCTCACATTAATTAGATTTTAAGATTCACGTTAGCCTCAACTCAAAATTTATCTCAACCAAAGAGTAAAAAGAACTAGAAAGAGGCCTCAAAATTCATCTTGGCCAAGGTGTAAAGAACAAAAAAAAAATATCTCAAAGTTCGTCATCACAAAAATATGAAGAACATCAATAGTGTAATTTCATATCTTAAAGATGTTTTTTTAATAATTTTTTTCAAATATTATATATAAATTGATATATTAATAATAAAACTTTATTCATTCTTTTAAAAATAAGATAAAATATAAAAATATAAAATAAAATTCTTTATTAGCTAATAATCAAATGTGTTTTTTAAATAAGCTCTCATATTCTTTTAAAAATTATAATTAATTAAAATTTATATTTTATTTCTATAATTAACACTTATTTATAAATTAAACATTATAAAAATATATATATTATTTCTTTTTAATGCTAATGATATTATAACAACTCCAATTGTGAAGTAACAAAAAATTAAAATATAAATTTGTAAAGTAAAAAAGACTAAGTCGTTGATTAGTGTTAATTATAAAATATTAAATGTATCTTTTAATTTAAAGTATTTTATACATGTTATATATATATATATATATATATATATATATATATATATATAATTTTTTATGTATATGCATTACTATCCATACACTGTGTTCCAGCAAGCCTTACATCTGTTTGGAGGGAAGAGGAAATGGTGAAGATCATGAATATAGATCCTCACTCAACGCAATGGCTGCGTTCACTGCCAGTAATGATACATAGTACCACATTTGTGTGATAAGGCTTTTAACAAAGCAAGTTTATGGTTAAATTAAATAATTAGTTTTATTAATATTATCTTTTTCTTTTTATTATTGTAAAAGTCTTATTTAATTTTAATTTTTAAAAAAAAAATATATAATTTTAGTCTCTCACATTTTTTTTTTAAACGTGGAGATCGTAATTGAATAGAATTGTATATAAATTAAAAATATAATATCTTTAAAAGTTAATTATTTAATAAATAAATAAAAATATTCCATTTTGTATCCTATTTCAGGTCATCTAAAGGGTCTAATTTAAAGATCTACAACTTTCTTTTACATGTAAAAACTCACAAAAGGTGGCTTGTAATCTTAAAAAGTCACTAGAGTTAAGATACAATCCTTGATGTTGACAATAGTAATAGGGAGTCTACTAGATGCAAGACATCAAGAAAAGGTTAAACTCTAGCTAGGGTTTTCACGATAGTCAAATAGGACGTGCATCCAAAATGACACCGCTACATAACCCCTCTAATCCT